GATGAAGATGTTGGATCTGAGTATTGTGTGGCTGTATGTGGCGGTGCATATTTATGGGGTTTGCAGAGATAGCTGCGTGCTATAACAATTTAGGGAAGGAGTCTACAGGGTAGCCCTGGAGGGTATGGATGTTATTTCCCAGGGCCTACAACATAGAGCCCAATGGCCATTTACCTAAAACCTACTACTGATTGGTGGAGTGTATGCATAGGGGCTCCATTTGAAAAGTTCTTATAGACATACGGTGAGCTTTGCTGTCTCCTGCATCTGTCAAATGAGAATCAAAAGGTTGAAGTAAGATACCTAGGTAGGTGAAGATCTCTTCCAGTCTCACAGTTCAGACACCTATAACATGTAAACATTGAACTATGCACTCCTCACCACCATGAAGCTATTCCTACCCCTCCTTCACAATATATTCCAAGCCTAACTAGTGCCAACGAGAACGTTCTATAATAGAAAAGTACTCCGTATGTTGTACTAACATTGGGCACGTTGAGATCCACAAGATCAGCGTCAGAGTTTTCTCTTCGTCTTTTCAGCCTATGATGTAGTACTCGACACCTGAGGCCGGGAATCCAAATAACCCCCACCATTTTCCGTTGCCCGGTGGACACTTGGGTACACGGAGATACTTGGGTTCTCCGCTGTAGTACCATGGAACAGGAGGTACCAGCAAGTATCGTCTTGTAGCTTAGCTCTTCGCCTTCTGATGCGCGCATAGCTTTTTTTTTTTTTTTTTTTTTTTTCTCTCTGCCGTCCCTTAATTGTTTTTCTCCCCTCTTCTTGATCTTTCCCTCCTCCATTCTTCCCTCTTTATAACACTCAAGTCTGCGTGTTTGTCCTGCATTATTACTTTACGACACATCTTCACGAATACACATTATGTCTAACGATCAGTCCCTCCTTGACCGCGTCGAGATGCCTAGCATCCCCGAGGCTGCTATGAAGAAGATTGCTATCCTTGAGGAGCAGTTCTCTCGTGCTGAGGTTGAACAGCGTATGTTTCTGATTTCCTAGATTTCTCTTTCCTTTGTTATGGTGGGGCAAGTAAAACAGCTTGCAGAGTCTACTCAACAATGGAACAAGACAATGGCATTCATTGAGAAGTGAGAAGTGCAGTTATTGATGAACCAATTGCTAACATACACACTCTATAGTGCGCCACTCTGTCAAGCTCATGACCCCCCTGATCCAGAAGCGCAGTGAGATCATTAACATCCCCGATGTTCAGGCTGAGTTCTGGATGCGCGTCTTCGCCAGTGCTCCCCCCGAGATCGACGAGTACATTCTCTCCAGCGACGCCCAAGTTCTCGGCGAGTGCCTCAAGAACATGAACGTTGAGCGATTCGAGCTTGATGCCCAAGGCAACGGCGAGCCCCGCAGCTTGCGCTTCACCTTTGAGTTCAAGACCGGTGAGGAGAACCCCTTCTTCACCAACGATAAGCTCGTCAAGGAGTTCTACTGGCGCCAGGAGGTCTCCAAGAACGCCGCTGGCAAGACCCGCACCTGGGAGGGTCTGGTCTCCGAGCCCGTCCGCATCAACTGGAAGAAGGATATGGATTTGACCAAGGGCATGCTCGATGCTGCTTGCGACCTTGCTGATGCTGAGAAGAAGAAGGGCGGTGACCGCAAGAAGTTGCCCGAGTTCGCTGCTCTTGTTAAGAAGGTTGAGGAGGCTGAGGCTGATATGGCCAACGCCGAGGATGACGAGGATGACGAGGACCCCAGCCCCGTTGGCATGAGCTTCTTCGGATTCTTCGGATACCGCGGCCGTGATGTCTCTGCCGCTCAGTCCAAGGAGGCTGCCAAGGAGATCGAGGCTCGCTGGGCCAAGGTCCAGAAGGGCGAGGATATTGAGGAGGCTGGTGACTCTGACTCTGAGGATGAGGAGGATGAATCCGATGGTCTTGAGGAGATCGATATCTTCCCCGATGGAGATGACCTTGCTGTTGCCATTGCCGAGGACCTCTGGCCCGATGCGCTCAGCTACTACGGTATGTAGATCCTGGATAGCGAGTGCGATGTTTCCCCCACTAACTTTGACCGCAGTTCAATCCTTCCAGATCGGCGAAGAGCTCGAAGATATGGACCTTGATATGGAGGAGATGGATGATTCCGATGAAGAAAGTGAGTCGCGCCCGCGCAAGAAGGCTCGCAAGTAAACCATTTGCACCCGAAACGCCATGATCCCCCCCTTTTGATGATTTTTGCTTTTACCTAACCCCTTGATTTTGTATTATCACAGTGCAATGAGCAGGATTAATAATAAGACGAGGACGAATATGAGTGCCGCGATACAAAACGAGGACCATGTATCTAGTCGGAAAAGTTAGTTTGAACTTAAGATTCCCATACCACACCAGACCATCTATCCAGTAGAGATCCAGCATAGACGGAGTAAACAGAACCAAAAAAAAAAAGGAGACAGTCTCTTACCCTCATTCTTGCGCACAATATGTTTGATACGCGACATCCCATTCGCCAACTTCCCCCCAACCCGATCCGCCAGCGTATCAACCTCATCAATCATAACAGCCTGATCCTCCAATTCACGACCCATATCATCAGCCTGCTGACGGAGGTTCCCAACAGTGCGAAAAACACCATCAAGCTGCTCATCCTGCTCATGCATAAGCTCAGACTGGCGCTGCTGTTCCATAGAAGCATAATAATCATCCCCGCCACGACCGCGCTCCTCCTCCTCAAGCGCAGCATCAAACTCAGTAGGGTTTGGTAGTGTGTCGACGGCAGAATTGGAAACAGCCTGCTGAAGCTCCTGGTGCATTTTCTCGACCTCATCACCGACATCGTCGACGAGCTTGCGCCGTCGCTGCACCTCCTCTAGTTCCAGTCCATAGCGGTAGGGGTCTTGTTCGATTGCGCGCACGCTTTCGACCAGGTCGTTCAGGTCCGCTGTTAGCTCGGTTAAGGTGCTTTCGAGCTCGGAGCGTGCTTGCTTCAGCTCTGGGTTGGTTGGGCTTTTGGCTAGAGACCGGATGCGGAGGTATGAGGAGAACAGTGGTCGGCTGATTTGTAGAGTTGAGACGACGTCCCTGATACGTTGGTTGTTAGTTGGGTTATGTGCTTTGGGGTTGAGGTAGAGCTCACGCTTGGACTTGTAGGAATGGGTCTGCGTGCTCCATGGCTGTGGTATTGGGTATTGGTGTGTTGTTGATAGTTCTCGGCCCCGGGTTGGTCCACGGGTGAGCCTGGAGCGGAGGCGGGTGTTGCTGACTAACCTTTACGGTGAGATTTTGGGACAACCGCGCAGTTTTGGCCTGGAAAAACAGGTTTGCTGGGAATCCACTGCACCTTCACTTGACGACGCAGCACTCCAAGGACTTGTATATTTTGACGGAGACGATGGCATTGTCGTTATGTATCTATATTCTTGGAAGGTAACACTAATTATTTATCCACGATATTTATTTATTTCCTGTTATGGGTTTTTCAGTCGGCACCACATGCGGAAGGGGAACTAACTAGGTGTTGGTGGGTTCATAGGCCGACTTGGGTTTGGCTTCATGATAGAACCGCGTGTTTTCTTTGGATTCAAGTGCTGCGGACTAGGCAGTGAATGTGGCAACCACACTGAACCAAGGGTACGGGCGCAATGAATACTCCGGACGGCATCGGGATAGTTGATAATTGCCATGGAGGTTAGTGGGAGCGAGGCAACATGAAGCAATGTATGTCCCAATGCCCGTTGTTCCTACGCTGGAAAGTGACAAGGAGGGGATAAGATAGGACCTCTGGGTCGTGACGAGCAACTGGAAAGTGAAGTGGGTGGATTAGAAGATAGGAGAGATGACGGTTTGGTATCATCAAGGTTGGCTTTACCAGAAGCACTAATCCAGGCCGATTCATCCGCTCCCGCTTCACGAATAGCGAAGATATCATCAAATGCAAGGCCGGCGGCGACCTCTTTAAGGCCGTGATGCCTTTGCCCATTCGTAGTCGATGGCCTGGGACATTCATTAGGCTCGGTCCCAAATCGGGGAAAGCCGACTCGCCGCTCATCCAGCTCGGCTTAGGTTAACGGCTATATCTGGTTATTAATGCCTTTGCTCTCTATTACTACTAGAATTTGCGCCCGTTTAAGGACTATAGCAGACGCAACGTCTACAACACTGGGTTGGTGCTATGCTTAGAGTCCCTAGACTAGTCTAGGGCATAACCGGCATTCGGGTTATTATCTTCAACCTGAACCTGAACACGGTAAATCTTACGAAAATCCCATCTATTGTGATACTTCACGTCAAACATTCTTTGTGACCTCCGGCAGCAAAGTTGTCTGTCTCTTCCTCTTTATTATTCCTCGCTTCTGTCGCTTCTCTGCTTTCTTCTTTATTTGATTTCTTCGTTCTTTGCTACACAGATAGTGCAATGAAGTCAGAGGTAGTACTTATACAGACCGGGTGCATGACATATGTAGATGTTCGGGTTCCCGAGGTCGGGTTCGGATGGAATCCTGTAACTTAAACTTAGATTGCATGGAACTTGGAGCTATGAGAAATGTATCGCGTAGAAGTGCCTGAAAGCGGATGGTAACCGAGTGACGCGAGTTGGATCCATATTCACGCCAGTGCCGACTTTCCGATAACCCGCACTTTCATTTCTTCTTCCTTGAGCTTCGAATTATCGAAGTCTCAAGGCTTACAGCGCCACTTCAGAAACACCCATGGCGACCAAAAATGGCTTCCTGCCGTTGGAGGCGCCTCGTAGTTTTGCAAAATCCTCCATCTCTCATTGTCTTCGCCAAGGAAGACTCGTACTGGGAACCCTCCTGCTGACAGCAGGCCTGGTGATACTGATTCAAACCAAATATCTCGTCAATATCATTACATGCAATAGTACTGGTCGAGAGACCTTTTACGAAGGGCTGAACAAATGCTATGAAGCTAGGTATCAGTATGAGGAACCTCAACCAACAGAGGATCGGGAAAACCCAAGGTGGAGCTCGATCTCCGGCCAGCAGAGATGGATCCTGATCCAGAATGCAACGCTTTTCGACGGCGAGTCCGTCCTTGCAGACAGCTGAGATCACATTCGAGGCAGGCCTGATTCGTTCTGTATCAGCTGCAACCTTGAACCACCAAGTCCCCAAGGATGCTCAAATCACCAACGCCCATGGAAGCTTTGTCACCCCTGGCTTGGTGGATATGCATTCTCATCATTTGTTACTCCCATTCCCCCACCCTCCATCTACTAGCGACGTCAACGAGAGCCCAGTCCTAGGATCAATCACTCCGTTTGTTCGCTCGTTGGATGGATTTAAACGATATGACCCAGCGATCCAGATCATCGCATCGGGTGGTGTCACTTCCTTGATTCTACCAGGATCGGCAAACATTATCGGCGGCGAGGCATATCTGGTAAAGAACTTGGCAACCCTCCAAATGCCGAGCCGGTAGTCGATCAACTACTGCTTGATTATGGCATCGCAGGGAAGAGCCGAAAGAGATACTTGAAAATGGCTTGTGGGGAGAACCCTAAGGGCAACTATAAGAATACCCGACTTGGTCTAGTGTGGCTTTTGCGCAAGCATCTCGACGAAGCACGAGAGTTGCATGTGCGCCAATCTGCCTAGTGCCGGACGGCTACTAGTATTGACAAGACCGGCTTTTCCCAGTCTCGACAGATTTCACAGTTCCTCAAAGACGAAGGGATACGACCGGAGTCTTTTGAACTTCAAACTTCTCTTGCACTTCTCAGAGGAGAGCTCAATGTCAATGTGATAAGCCGGAAGATCTTGAGCGCATGTTTTCAGTGCTTCATGAATTTGGCATCCATCCCAGTGCTTTTCACCATGCACTGGAAGCGTGGGAAGTGCCTGAATTGTTAAAATCCCTAGAAAAGTATGTTCCTTTATTTGATCAGTTTCGTTTGCTGACAGACCTCAGAAACATCACTATTGCCACTTGTGCAGAGAATGGGCTTTTCAAAGCCGAGGCATAAGGGCCAATTTACGGGGCCCTAAAATTCTGGCTGATCATGGTGTCCAAGTTGCACTGAAGTCGGTATGAAATTGCTCCTTTCGTAAAGCGATGATTGATCCCTCTAACATCGAAAGGATCATACTGGCGAGGACAACTATGCAAAGTACCTTGTATGAGTGGACTGAAAGCGCTACATTCAATCACCTAACAATCATTTTACCTGATGTCATACAGTTACCAGGAGGCAGTTTCTCACTCATTTGTTTTGTCTGAAGAAAAGTCTCTCCAAGCCGTAACATCTGTCCCTGCTAGATCTATCCAACAGGATCATAGAATTGGATATGTCCGTCCAGGATATGATGCAGATATCGTTATCTGGGATGATCACCCGCTCCCAGTTGGTGCAACCCCAACTGAGGTATTCGTTGATGGTCGGCCTGTTGAACGATGAGAATTTTCGCGAATGGACTAATGGAACACCTGGTTTTGGAAAGCCACAGACTCCCCAAATCCGACCATCTCTCGAAAGAGGTCAGAAAGAAGATATCTGTACCGAGATTCAGCACATCGGTTCACGGATTCTCTTTACTGGCATTCAAAAGTTCTTGGTTGATACACACAGTCCATTTACTAACATCGTCATGCTGGCTAAGGATGGTCAAGTGAAGTGCCTTGATAAGAGGTCCTCATGTCTCTCCGGCGAAATTCAGGAAAATACCGCACATATCGCTTTGAAGAACGGTTATGTCCTGCCTGGCCTTGTAGCCTTCGGCAACAAAACGAGCCTCAAATCTACAACAGCTACTGAACCTGACATGTGTAGTCCAACAGCATCGAACTGGCAAACATAGGCAATATAATAAGATAACTAGCGAGTATCTTGACAGTCCATGAGACTATTTCCGAGTCTGCAATATGAAGCTGGGATGCGGAGGGGCAGCGGGTAAAATGCGGCCCTTTGGTTGTCGTGTCAAGCCTGAATACATTAACAAAACAGGATGGCGCGTCTTCGCTCCAATAGAAGAGCTCTTCCTGTTTTCTCGAATGTTTTGACTCTTGGATGAAGGCTCTCAAGTCCGACGACAGGAAGAAGCATGGTCCGACAAGTTGTCTGGTAGATTGGACTTGATCTATGCACGGTATAAGGTAACTAGGCGAACAATCTGATGACGAGGTAATGTCACGCCGCCTTCTAAACTGTTGCTCTTGATTTATTTCATGCCTCGTACTCAGTACACTGTTTGGAGTTATGGGAAAAGGTGCTTTTACGAGCCAATGCCTTATCACTGGAATTCCATATCCAGATAACTATATCCACTACAGGAAATGAGGCCACCACCTAGTCGAGAGGACGTCCAGTCCACTACAGCCAAATATCTGAGGCCATCCCTGATGTACCCATTAATACCTCCGCGTGTGCCTTTCAACACAGGCTCTCGCTCTTGTTACTATCAACTTTTACCGCCCGCCAATGAGATCTCCTCCTGGCGGCGGCGAACGCTGATTTGCGTAAACGGATCGCTGGAAAGCCCAAACCCATACGTCATGGCTTGCGGCTTCTGATCACCAAGCTTCAGGTCATACTTGAGTAGCAGATGACAGAGGGCAATCTTCAATTCCGTAGCCGCAAAGAATCGTCCAGGGCAGGCATGATTGCCAAAGCCGAAGCCGGTGTGATCCGATGAGACTGAGACCAGCTGCGTCTGATGGGATCGCTCTGGCACCTCGCGCATGTTGATGAACCGATAGCCATCATACTGATCCCCATTGGTGTAAGAAGAGTTCGGGTCCAGGGAGTGGTCATCGATCATGGCGATATAGGTTCCTTTGGGAATCAGGGTCCCGTCACTCAGTGTAATGTCTGCCGTCACGTACCGGTAGAGAGATACTAATTCCGAGATCCAATTTCAGTCACATCGTTGTTAAGGTAGGGAACGGGTATACGGACTGATCTGCATTGGTTTCAGGCGTTGGCTTTCTTTCAGGACGCTATCTAGAAGCTTGAGGTTGTAGATCGCATTCTTACTCCAACCGTGCTGGGTAATGACCGTGACAATCTCTTCTCGTAGTGGCTGAAGTAGCTCAGGATGTTCGCAGAGGTCAAAGATAACCTGTGATAAAAGGTCCGCGCTCGTATGAGTCGCCACGACTGCCAGACCCATCTGAAGCAGGGCTGGGTCATAGTAGCCTCCCTTAGCACAGTCCTCCAGCCATTGGACGGTGTCCACCTCATCGCTTGCATCCGTTTCAGGAAAGGCGCTTTTCCGGTTTCTCTCTCGTTGCTGTAGAACTTGTGAGATAATGCCGCGCGCCTCCTGGACTTGGCTGCGTAGCTTCTTGCAGGAGGGCAGAAACCAATGAACCAGCCAGAGTAACCAGCGAGGCCACATTCGAAGTCTCTCGGCGGTCATAAATGCCTCGACAGTGTAGTTAATCATGATCCCTATCCAGGCCGGGTTCCGGCAGACTTGGGGGCCCAGGAAGATTCTTGCGGAGAGGCGAGCCACCAGCTGGAGGGAAGTCTCCTTCACATTGATCTGATGCCATTCTGCTACAGTTAGGTCTATCCAGTTCTCCGAGACTCGTTCCTTCAAGATTCTCACCTGAGCTATCCGTGAGCTGTTGTTGGAGAACAAAGTCTGTCTCCTCGGAGAGCGGAATACCCACCGCGCCTAGGAAATACGCTCATTAACTTTTGTTCACTCCAGAGTCCAAACTCAATCGAATGTACTCACCAATGGAGGGAGTCAGTTTGGTTCGTACCATGGCTGCAAAGACTTTGGGATTTGTCTTCACATGGTTGAAGGGTTCGAATCCTTGAAGCCAGCCGAAGAAATCCTGTTAAATTAGGGCTACCGCATATTAATTGCCTGGGAAGTTACGGGAAGTTACACTTACATCCTCGGGCGGCTTCGTATTGTTAAGACTCTTGTGATCACGAAGCTCATTCCGATACTTGGAATGGAGTACGAGGAGGATCCGGTTGTTTGTTACCAGACGAAACGCGTTGTTCGTCTATTGTGAACGAGCAATATGGATACATCAGCCAAGACCACTGCGAGGGGAAAGGGAGCGCACCTTGGAGAGACCCTCCTTCAGCAGGCTGCGCGCCTGGGTAATGAAGCGAATCTTGGATTGCGTGTAGAACAGTTCCCCCGGTCGCTTACTATTGATGAATGGATACTGAGCCAAGGGGTCCGGAGAAAAGAACACAACGATGGCCCAAATCCCCAGTAGCAGGGATCCGCCCACCCACCAGGCGTTGACATCGGACATCATCACAGCGATTACCTCTGCTTATTTTGAGGGGAGAAAATTCTACCTTCAGTGATGGTAATAGTCTTCACTAGGAGGGCCTGGAGTAACTCTGGTCTCGGTTCTTTTCTTTGAGGCGCCTGAAATATTTGAACGACCGCGGAATACCACTTCAGACTTAATTGCAGGGATCAAAAGTATCTAGTGGTTTTCCACGGCCACTTCCGTCTGTTCAGGGTCGATCTTCGCTAGTGTCTACATCTGGATCGTGAATGAAACCGTGTGATCAAAACCGCCATCGGTGAATCCAGCCTAGCAACCCCGTATGTTGTAAGGGGAATGTCAATATGCAGTGTATTTTGGACAAAGCATATATTTTCACATAAATGAGACGCTTGGAAACCTTTGCATGTGCGCGATATCAATCTCGTGGCCTTGCTGATGCATCTCAGGTACTATTTCCGAATCAGTGAACTTGTATCCTCAGGTCTCGCATCATCCAGCCAAGCTGATAGGCCGATTAGGGAGAATGCATTATGCATTCATATAAGGTCTATTGATTGGCAAGCAAGGTACATCTTCACCGCCAGGCAACTGGTTGTTGGAAATCTGATGTGTCGACTACCCTACTACGACAGCCCGAGAAATACGCTAATGTATGCACGCCACAGGTAATAAATATGGTATTCTTGCAGATGCATATAACAAATTAAATACAGACAAAGCTGTAAGCTACATAATGATGATTGATGAGGAATAATTATTAGTATTCATATTACCAGCAAAAAAAGTAAAGTGGCATGCATGCATTAGCGTGCTTCTCGGCCGGGCTGTCGTAGTAGGGTAGGTAGCATCCAGCCCAACTTGATATCCGTATTGCAGGCGGTGACAACGGATATAGAGCTGGCCTAGCCCTCCTCTTTCGATCTTAGCCTCTTTCGATCTTAGCATACATATTTAGCTTTTCCTATAGCAAGAATTCAAGGATATTGTGAGCTAATCTTTCCACGAGTAAATTACGACCCAATTTGAGGTACTGCAACGAGTGCCTTATCACTACCAGAGACCAAATCAGCAAATTTTCCTCACACCCAGGAACCCCGCGCACCTTTTTCTTCATGGCCCAGACACGAAAGCTGGTCACGGTATATGGAGCCACCGGTAACCAAGGCCGGTCGGTGGTGAAGTCTTTGCTCCGCGCTCCAGATTCCTTTGAAGTGCGGGCAATCACTCGAGATCCCAACTCCGTTGCAGCGCAGGAACTCTCTACTTTGGGAGCTAGTCTTGTCCAGGCGGATGGGTCCCAGAGTAACCAGATGACCGAGGCCTTCCAAGGATCGTGGGCGGTTTTCCTAAATATCAATTCGGACGACCCGGTAAGTGGATTTCGGCAACCATATGCTCCTAGTTGTAAAGCTAAAAGGATGGTCCTCAGGTCTTTTGGGATCCTAAGGGTCCCACCGAGTTTGATTATGGCAAAAGAATCATAGACAGTGCCATCATGGCTGGTGTGAAGACTTTGGTCTACAGCACCGGAGCGGCCTGTACGGAGCTAACCAAGGGCACGGTTTCTCTCCGACATCTTGACAGTAGGAGGCTCCGTTTAGTCAAGTCATCTTGGATCCCGCTATGACAGCTAACAATCTCCCAGCGAAGAACCAGATTGAGATGTATGCTCGTTCCACGGGAGCCTTTGAAAATCTTGTTCCCATCATCCCGGGGTACTTTCTAGAGAATTTCCTTTTCAAGCAGGGCGCATTCATCATGGGGGGATTCCCATGGGAGACTGATGCGGAGGGATATTTGACATGGAAGGTACCGTACTGGGGTGGTGATGAGCGAATCCCCTTCCTCAGCGTTGCGGATGACTTCGGCGATATTGTTCACGGCATCCTCATCTCCCCGTCAGAGTATCATCTTCAGGTAGTGCAAGCCATGAGCGAGATCACGGATTACCATAAAATGACAGAGGCGTTCGCACAAGGTAAGCGCACTCGATCCTTAGACGCTCTACATCAGGCTGACATGCTCGCAACGCCTAGTGACTGGGAAGAAAACACGGTTCCAGCCGGTACTACCAACCTGGAAGGCGTTTGATGCCTCAGGAAACCAAGGATTTGAGGATGTGAAATCCATGTTCGGATTTACTCAAGAGACCCAAGGGCACTACTTTGGTCGAGAAGCCACAGATGATCAGGTTTCCAAGAATCTCAAAGCGAGAGCTGTCTTGGATTATAAAGAATCGCAGCAATCGTCCTCTTTGAAAACCGTTCGCGCTTGGTTTGCACGGGAGTTTGCTGCGTGATCTGTCCATGTAGCTGCTCAGAAATAGTGCGCCTCCTTTTACACACCACTTTTCATATAGACCTCTCTTCATCTCTGTCATGATGTTGTTCGTTATTCGGCCAGTCATCCGATGATATGTAAGCCCAAGCGGTGCCACAGAATCAAGATTGTGTGACGTAGGCACTCGTACTACATCCCTACTTTGCTTTTCATTGTATTTTCTAACGTCAAATTCCAATTCAGGAGATCTAAAAATGTCTCCCAGATACCCTGTGAGACCCAAAATGGACGGGTTTAGCGGTTCCTCGTAGGGAACAGGGATCAACTGGCCGGATGTGAGGTACTTCACAAGCCAGGGTTAGAAACGGGAAAATATCTCCTTCCAACCATGTATCCTTTCTCCACCAGATATGGTACTCTAGTCGAATGCAGTGCACATGCTGCGGCAGGATGGAGGCTTTCCACGACTCATGCAAGAAGAGCTGTACAAAGAAAGCGAGTGAGGCATCTGCAGGATGGAGGATTTCCACGGCTCATGCAAGAAGAGCTGTACAAAGAAAGCGAGTGAGGCATCTGCAGGATGGAGGATTTCCACGGCTCATGCAAGAAGAGCTGTACAAAGAAACCGAGTAAGGCATCTATCTAATCTTCCCCTTATGGCGGTGTGGACATAAATAATGAATATGACTTTGCACGGGAGCCACCTCGATGGTTCGTTGCATCCTGTGAGTACCGGTTGCAGCTGGCCATCTGGAACTATTGAGAGATACAGGAAAACTACTGCGGGCAAGGCACTACCCTACTACGACAGCCCGGCTGAGAAGTACATACGCTAATGCATGCATGCCACTTTACTTTTTTTGCTGGTAATATGAATGCGAATAATTATTCCTCATCAATCATCAGTATGTAGCTTATAGCTTTGTCTGTATTTATTTTGTTATATGCATCTGAAAAAATACCATATTACCTGGGGCGTGCATACATTAGCGTATTTCTCGGCCGGGCTGTCGTAGTAGGCTACGGAGTTCTCCGTAGACTGCGACTTGTCGCATACAGAAACCAGGGTGATTTAACGCCTTGCATGTGGCTGGAGCACCGATGGAATCGAAGTGCCCATGAGGATCCGCTATCTGAATCGATACTTCAAGCGCCAACAGTAACGAGGTCCGACTCACCAACTTCCTCCCTTCCATTCCGACGTGAATTTACTTCTTTGTCCCATATCACCATGACAGTTATGGTATCCCAGATTGAGTATATCGGGCAAATCGTCCGCGGTGAGGTCACGGTCATCTGGATCCTCGTGGCCTTGGTCCTCCTGGCTTACTTGATCCTCCCCAACCCAACCTACCGCACCAATGTCAAAGTCCCGACGGTAAGGTATCTGGGAGGCTGGATACCCGATCAGGTGGACCGTCTGTTCTTTAATACCAAGGCAACCTCGGTTATCTACGACGGTTATAAGCAGGTAAGTGGGAAGAAAGGCGCGGGTTTGTCATGGGTGCTAATGCCCATGTAGTACAAGAAGAAGGCATATAAGGTGCTGAAGGCCGATGGCGATCTCGTAGTCCTCTCGACCCGGTACGCCGAGGAGCTACGGCAATTGCCTGCATCGACTTTAAATGCCCTCGAGGCCACCTTTACAGTAAGAGCTCCACCCCCACTCCCTTGACGTTCGCACGACATTAAACCACATGGCACCAGGATCATGTCGGCGATTACACGACCATTCTTACCGACAGCCACCTGCACACTGAGACCATCCAAAAGCGGTTGACCCCGGCAATCGGTAGGAGCCCCGTGGATGTCAGGAAGACCGATCGCTAACCCCTGTCGCAGGCAGACTAATCCCTCGTATTATCTCTGAGCTTGACCACGCGTACGAGGTGGAATTTCCCGAGTGTGACGGTAAGTCCAGATCCCTAACCCACGCCGTATGCATCCGCGTTGGACTAACCGTACTTGGACGAGAGGCAAGTGGGTGGCAATCAACCCATACGAAGTCTTCTTGCGTCTCGTAGCCAGGGTGGGCGCTCGTGTCTTCATCGGAGAGACGCTGTGCCGGGATGAACAATGGCTGAAGGCCTCGATCGACTATACCAAGAACATCTTCGTGACCATTGCGCTGTTGCGGCCAGTTCCTGGATTTCTCCAGCCCTTGGTCGGGCGAGTCTTACCCAGCAGTCGGAGTTTGAACCATCAGCTTGCCTATATCAAGAATGAATTCCTGGGTCCCCTCATCGAGCAGCGCCGGGAGATGGAATCGTCAGGGGACCCCAAGTATGAAAAACCTGACGATTTTCTGCAGTGGATGATGGACCTCGCCAAGACAGAGCAGGAGTCACATCCACATAACCTGGCCCAACGACTTCTCGGAATCACTAGCATGGCGGTTGTCCACACGAGCGCCATGAGTCTCACGCATATTCTATACGACCTGCTGGTCATGCCACAATGGCTCCAGCCTCTCCGCGACGAGATCCAGGAGGTCAACCCCGATTGGCACAGCACCACGCAGGCCCACCTCATTGGACTTAAGGGCATGGACAGCTTTCTGAAGGAATCGCAACGATTCAATCCTCCGGGGGAACGTAAGTCATCCGTCCCGACGACCGTTTGGGGATTATACTGACGCAGAACCCGGCAGTCTCATTTCACCGTGTGGTCAAGCATGATCTGACCCTTTCAGATGGTCTATTCCTCCCCAAAGGCACGCACATTTGCATGGCGGCGGGACCCATCTCGCGGGATGCGGATGTGATGTCGGACCCGGACGCGTTCGATGCCTTCCGCTTCGTCAAGGAGAATCGACCAACCTCGGGCTTTGTCAGCACCGGTGTCACCAATATGCATTTCGGGCTTGGCCGCTATGCCTGTCCCGGCCGGTTCTTCGCCGCCTTCGTCATGAAGGCCATCCTTAGCCGATTCCTCGCCGACTATGACTTCCGATTTGCTCCCGATCAGAAGGACCGCCCCAAGAATATGATGATCGGGGACAAGATCGTCCCGAATGTGTCCACTCCGATCTTCATCAGGAAAAGAACCACATCACAACCCCTTTGATCTCCCCCGGTTGTTAGGGTATTCATTTGCTAGCTTTTGTGTCTCGTGCAGTTATATATACATCGAGAGTATTTCTAGTAACCATGGACAAAGAAGCGGGACGTGGTCTTAGACTACAAATTCCCGACGCCTAGGGTGAATACAAGTTGACCATTCACATGAACATCCACGTCTCTAGCTAGTACAAGCGAACTAATGGCTAATGGCGTCCGCTCGTAAATTTATGAGGCCTGAGACCTGAGGCACCAAGTGTATCGGAGGTGGTGAGGTGGCAGCACAACGCATGGGGGCTTATTTCCTGGGGCATTAACTAATTGTCGAGATAAAATAACTGAAAATGTGATTTAGGAGGTTTAATCAATCGATCTCGATTCCTATCCAAGTACCGCGCATTACGTGTAAATGTAGGGAACCACCCGCTCTGACACTTACAAAGATAGACTTCGGATGAAAGGACAATATTGAGCCATGTAGAATTGATATAAGACATGATAGATCAGATCAAAAGAAAAGGTGAAATGAGGTATTTGGTCCCTGAATGAACCTAACAAGGTCCCCGAGATAACAATGGTCCCCGAACTCCAGTTAAAAACCGAGAGTAGAAAAAGTAAATAATCGATTGCATGAATTGATCAGCATATTGAAAGCCATGCATGCATCCATTCTTTAAAGAATTTATAGATTTTTCGGCATATTTGGAAAATCGAAAAAGTTGCCTAAATTTGGGCTTATTTTCTTAGTTAAAATGATCAGACCTTATTGATTGAATCAGTGGAAAAGTACGGAGTATGCATTTCTGATTTCTGCGGACTAGAAATCTTGCCAAGCCCCATGTATGCAATAGAATGATCGAATGCTACCCCAAAATCATTCCGTCGACAGACTCTTCAGCTAATTCATAATGCCATTCTTTGTTTACACCGACTTCAAGTCCAGCTTTTCTTTCCTGCCCCATAGAGCCAGCCAGTCTTGAATGGATGAGCCAGACTCAGCCAGTTCAGCCATGCACATCTGATGCACCTTATCGCTGCGGATCACCCGCAGGGCATTTCGCACGTTCCGGGGGAAGGAGATTGCAGCGCAAGGTCTACCCAGTGGCCATCGGGGGCGTTCATGGCCAGCACGATAGGGTAGCTCAACTCACCATTGCAGAGGTCCTCGGCAATAGCCCCCTTCATCTTGGCATATTCAGTTGAATAAACATTCTTGCAATCGTTTTGGAGTTGGGAGTACCAGCTAGCAAGCATCAGTCAGGGATTGAGACCGCAGGAGAAGGGTGTGGGCAGGCACATACGCGACTAGGGTCATGGTATCATCCATCGACCGGTCCTCTAGCACTAGGTGGCCGAGCAGTCGGAAGAGTGAGCCTGTCTTAAGAGACGCCATCCGCTGATAGGCGGCGGCTCGCTCTAAGGGAGCGGTCGGGAAGTTCTTGAGGCCGTCCCGGCGCCACACGAGTGATAGGTCCTGGCCTTCGAGGATATTCTCGAGGTCCTGCATCAGCCAGGGAGCGAGATGCGGGAATCCGGATGTCGTCTGATTCAAAATTTGGGTGACTCGGAAGTAGGCGCGATTGGCAGTTTCCGACGGGCCGTAGATGCGGTGGGCAGCTGGTCGCCCTTTACGGAAGTCACTGCCGTCGGAGATCTGGGAGTATTAGAATTGGGGGTGCGTCGGCTTTGGTATCCTCAGAGGCATGGAACGTACATCATCAACCAGCATCAAACAGAGGTGGATGGCATCCATGATCTCCAGTACCATCTTGTACTTGGCTGGATCATCATGTTGGAGAGTGGGAGACAACTTGTGCACGAAAGGAGCCCAATGATAATGGCCGTAGATCTGGCGAATATAGCTGTACGGACATTCTAAGGATGTTGTGCTTGCTGGGTCCTTCTGACCGATCAATTGGTATTTTTTCGACAACCACCGCGGCGCAGGGAAGCGATCAATGGAGATATAGAGAACAACAATCAGTGCCAGAGCACCCACGGTTAGAGTCAGGTACGACAGCGAGAGCTGCGACCATCCACTCAGAGGGGTCGTTAGCATAGTGGTCATATTATACTGGGCCTGGGAATTGAGTCAGGGGGAAGTAACGTAGAGAGATTCTGCGGAATTTGAATGATGCGACACAAAACGAGAAATAGGACTTGATAGGTACCGGAGACTGTCCGAGGAGCCGCAATGAGTGTTTGCAAAGTAATTCTCATGCAGGAAATCCAAATCGAAATTGCGGTGTGATGGACGACAGGTTGCATTTAATGGGCTTCCTGAATGGGTGCATCAGCTCCAACTACATCCAAAAAGCAAACAAAATCACTAGTTGGGTTTATAATTTGAAGTAAGGGACAGAAATAGTCTGTGTATCCGCGTAAATACGCCCACATGGAACATGTCTCCTGTACGGGGGACTATCTTGAATTTCCCCAAGAGGTTGCAAGTACAGAGTATGCACGAATCACTGCATATGACCTCCTGCGTGCGATCGCCCAAGCACAGCATGAAGCGTCGATCGTGTCGTCCACCGCACGGAATAAGAAGCAGCGGCGCAGCCTGTCTGGGCAATTCCAGACTATTGCCACCAGCATCAGAGGACCAGAACACAACAAATCAACCAACTATCTTCATTTCAATCATGGATGGATTTGATGTTTCCCAGGCTCCGCCCGAATATCGGGCTGTGGAGCCCATTGCCAACCTTTTTGTCCTGGGGATGGGGCTCGGGTGGCTGATCAACTATGTCGGAATGATATACCAATCATTTAAGGACGAGACTTACGGGATGGCCATCATGCCTCTGTGTTGCAATATCGCCTGGGAAATCGTGTATAGTTTGATATATCCGTCCAAAAGTCTTATGGAGCAAGGTGTGTTCATCGCCGGTCTCACTATCAACATTGGCGTCATGTACGCGGCAATCAAATTCGCCCCCAAGGAATGGAGCCATGCCCCACTGGTCATGCGCAATTTGTCTCTCATTTTCTTCCTGGCTACCCTGGGATTTCTCACCGGACATCTCGCTCTCGCTGCAGAGATCGGCCATTCCCTTGCATACTCGTGGGGTGCTGTGGTATGCCAGCTGCTCCTCAGCGTGGGTGGACTCTGCCAGCTACTGTGTCGGGGAAGCACGCGCGGGGCCTCGTATACGTTATGGTATGTAATAATCGAGGGCCTTGGCATAGGTTAGTTCTAAATATTCGTTCTAGGCTTTCTCGCTTCCTCGGATCGTCCTGCACTGTGGCTTTTGCATCCTTCCGTTGGATGTACTGGCCTGAGTCTTTTTCCTGGCTCAATAGCCCTCTGGTTTTGTGGAGCCTGGCGCTTTTCCTCACGGTCGATGGTTCCTACGGGATCTGCTACTGGTACGTTCGCCAATACGAATTGTCTCTCGAGGAAACTGAAGGGCGCAAATCGAAGTAAGATGTTGGATTGAGGCAATTGCGCATGGGGTGGGTCATGATGGTACATAGCATAATGTGAATTTATATGTACGTAGTGGCGCGAGGATACACATTATTACACGTGCCTCCCATTGGTCCATGCAGTATACATGTCTCCTCGGCCATAACTAGTTATCAATCTACCCTACCACGACAGCCCGGACGAGAAATACGCTAATGTATGCACGCCACAGCCAATAAACATGGTATTTTTTCAGATGCATACAACAAATTAAATACAGACGAAGCTATGAGCTACATACTGAGGAATAATTATTAGTAAAAAAAAGTAAAGTGGCATGCATGCATTAGCGTACTTCTCGGTATAGTCTTCCTTCTCTATCTGTGCAGGCTCGCTGACCATGGCGGGTTTCAAGCTTATTACCCCATCCGTCGTTGGATGTTAGTTTCCACCACCTTCTGCCTGCGTTAGCCTTCCCGTGAGTTTCAATCAAAGAAACATGAACAAAGACCAATTCCACGTCATTATTGTTGGCGGCTCGATTGCTGGCCTCACTTTAGCTCATTGTCTACATCGGGCGGGAATTAGTCACGTTGTGCTCGAGAAGGCCAGCGAACCAGCACCCCAAATTGGGGCCTCCGTTGGTATTTTGCCAAATGGTGCTCGAGTGCTCGATCAACTGCAATTGTATGAGACCATCGAAAAATATATCGAACCTCTGGAAACGGCAACCATCGGCTACCCGGATGGCTTCAGCTTCAGTAGTTCCTATCCTAAACTGGTGAACGAGAGGTTTGTCTCCACTGCTTGCGCAAATATTCAGTTGCATCGCTGATACTGTCCCTAAATTTCATATAGGTTCGGATTCCCAATAGCCTTTCTCGACCGACAGAAGCTGCTTGAAATCCTCTACCAGCACTACCCAGACAAGAGTAGGATTCGGCTGGCCGCAAGGGTCGTCAGCATTGAGAGCTCCGCCATCGATAGCACGGTAACCACGGAAGATGGGACGATCTACAAGGGTCATCTTATCGTCGGTGCCGACGGCGTCCATAGCAGAGTTCGCTCAGAGATGTGGAAGGCTGCACAGAGAATCAAACCTGGTTTGGTCACAAAGAGAGAACAGAGAAGTGAGTCAATGACCCCCGGATGACGACCAATGCATGATCCTTACTGAATCATGGCAACTTTTTAGGCATGACGGTAGAATACAGCTGTATTTTTGGCATCTCTGCCCCCATCAAAGGATTGATTGTGGGAGAACAGGTGAATGCCTTCTTTGATCATCTCACAATCGTGACGATCCACGGCAAAAATGGTCGAGTCTATTGGTTCCTAATCCAGAAGCTCGACCGGAAATATATCTATCCCGAATGCCCTCGCTTTACAGCCAAAGAAATCGGCCCCATCGTCAGTCATCTGAAAGAGATAAAATTCTTCAAAGATATTACATTTGGGCAGCTCTGGGATAGCCGGGAGACAGCCTCCATGACGGCGTTGGAGGAGAATGTCTTTGACACCTGGTACCATGGTCGAATGGTTTTGATGGGCGATAGTGTCCACAAGGTAGGGCTTCGCCACTAATAAGCCACTACGATTTGCGAAGGCTAACTCTTCTCATTGGTCCACAGATGACACCAAATATCGGACAAGGGGCCAATATGGCCATTGAAGACGCAGCGGTCTTGAGTAGCCTGTTGAGTGATTTGCTGCAGAAACAGACACAGCCTCCGACCAACGCACAGATTGAAAGACTCCTGGCCCAGTATCGCGAGGTTCGATATCCTCGAGTCAATTCTATCTATAAAACTTCGCGATTTTTGGTTCGATTCCAGGCTCGAGACGGGATCTTCAACACCCTCTTTGGACGTTACTATGCACCTCATGCAGGGGATCTCCCAGCTGATATGGCCTCCAAGACCATCGCTGGCGGTGAATTGTGTGCCTATCTTCCCTCTCCCAACCGTTGTTCCTACGGATGGGAAAAATATAAAAATAGCGGGCTTGGAAGGACTGTGTGGTGTGTCCTGGTGCTTATCCTATCGGCTTTGACGTGGAGTTGCGTGGGAAACATGAATATAATCATGGAGCTGCCAAAGAGAGTTTCTATGAAGAGATAGGAGATAGGAGATGGGCTAGGTTCGCGGAACTAAATTATAATCAAGTTATAGAATTTCTCGGATGGCGTACATGTAATGATGCATGAAGTAAAGTTTGAGGTGGTTGTCATTTTGCACTTCTACCTTCTATGGAACAAAGTGCACTGGAATAGCCTCTCTAGCTACTGTAATGGATACTTTCGGTGCAGTGGAGATAGTCCACTCCATTACTACCCCTAGCTTCTCTTTTCTTAGAGTAGCTATGAACTCGACCTGCCCTGCAACTGGACTAGCCTACAGGCGCTCTTTGGAAACTAGTTAAATAGGAAATTCATGAAATAGGTGTTCAATTCCCTTCAGAGCCATGCAGTTTTCTGGGTCTGAGCATGATCTCTGCTGTCATATCAGGGAAACATATCTTCTTGAAAGTTGTATTTCTGGGACGTGGCCCATGGTTCTTGATGGCAATATCAAAATGAAATAAGGTGTGGGCGACAATCAGTCGGATTTCATCAGCTGCCATGAAGCGTCCTGGGCTGTCGGTACATGAAGGATTAACGTTTGAAGCAGCCACAAGGCGGTAGGGAACATACCAAGTGTGTCTTCCATCACCAAACTGTAGATACTTAGAACTCGCTGTGACTAGTCGGTAGTCATGAGGCCTCTGGGTCTGCTCTGCTAACTTCCAGAACCGCAGTCCATCAAACTGACTACCAGCTGGGTACAGACTCTCGTCGAACAGCATTGGTCCATTGGGTGCGAACACCCAAGTCCCCCTGGGTAATTTCAACCCATTTGAGAATTGAAAGTCCCGAGTGGTCTGGCGTGCCAACGATGCTGAGTGTCGGTCAGCCTGAGATGACAGTATCATTACTCACGCAGGTCATTGTGAAGGGCAGCTTACCTGCATCCAAAGGATTGAATCTTTGAGCCTCCTTGATAAAGCTATCGAGCTTGGTCATTGACTCAATAGCACTCTTAGTCCATCCACCATGGGTTTTGAGGGCAGTTGTGATCTCCTGTCGCAGGGGATCCACGTACTCGGGGCGGGTTGCAATTTCAAGCAGGGTATGAACCGTAAGCTAACATACAATATATGAGCGACATGTCCTCGATTTCTCAGTGTGCAGCACCAACCTGGGTAGTGGTATGGATCCCCCCGAAGAATGTTGCGATAACCCGGACGACGGCGGATTCAATGGAAAAACCGGGGTTGTCTTTGACCCACTGGGCCATCCAATCTGTCATGTCCTCAGGGATCCTGTGTTTGTTCTCCAATTCTCGCCTAGCAATTTCTTCTGTGATGACTTTCACCAATCGGTCTGAGAGTCGAGGAGCCTTGCAGAAGAACGCTACGATCCTAATTCCGATTAATTACATCGTCCCTCGGTGATGAAACTATGTTTTGCTCACGGTTTCAGGACTGCCGGGAAAAGGGCAATAAAGAACCCATCCAGCGGAATGACCTCGGCGTATTCACATAAGAGATCAATCAATTCGGGCCTGTTTGCCAACGATCCGAGAAGCGCTTTGACCGTCAGGGCCGCGACGACGCGCGAGTACCGCGGGAAGCAAGGGAAGGACTGCCATTCGAATGGGCCTGGAGACTACAGTTAGACTCTGCCTGGTTTTATCGGAAGTCCTCGACTGCACCGTCTTGTTCAACCTGGATTTCCTCCTTAAATGCCCGTTGGAAAGTCTTCACAAAGTCGGGGAAATAGGGGTCAGTATCGTTGGCAGCGCGATTCCTCAGCCACATTAATGACTTGGCCAGCGCAGGTTGAGGAACCAGTTTGTGCACTGCATCCCAGTCTGCTCCAGGCAGGGTATACTTGGCTTGAAAGGTCTAAGAGGCAATCATTAAAGATCTGAATCAGGGAGGCTGGTATAGAAGGACTGGAGTGCGGATACCTCCGATGTGACAGCCAGAGCCGACATCTGATCATCCATCAAGTTCTTGTATTCCTTGATCATGTCATCATTGCATATACAGACTTCCCATCCATTCGGGGTAGAGACCTGGAACGCAAAATCCTTATTCTAGAGTCTTATCATTAGCATACTGGTCCGGGTCAAAGCTCTTGAAATACCTTTTCGTATCCTTTCTGGATGCAACCACGTGCTTCCCATGTCCAGAGGATTGTGCTGATCCATGACCCTAGAAAGCCCCGTCGGCCCACCACTGGCACATTAACCTGAATGTATGTCAGTGACTTCTATGTAAATGTATTCGGATCTCACAGCAAGAACACACCCAGGAACGCCAATATTGAACCCACCTCAGGGTACAGTAAGTGGTTGCTGCTACAATCAAGGTCGCTATCCACGGGGACTGGGCCACATAGTCCATGTCGAGAGTCGAATCTGTTAATTTTTGATTAAAGATAGCTCAACTCTTGGGGAGGATATAACGAATTCCTTTAAATAGGATCATGCAGCACAAAGTGCATAAAGTACCTCTTACGGGGGCGGCTTTGGGGAGCTAGGAAGGAATACATCTAGATAGGGATTAAAAGCCAACATAAAAAAAGCAAGAGGGAGAAAGCGCTAGCTAGCTGCAGACTGCAAGGGAGTAGCTGCATGAGAATTGCAAATCGCTGGACACCGCCTTTTTCGGTAATATCCCTAAAGTAGCTCTAGACCCCGTGGCACTGTGATCAAAGCCGTCTATCTCCCGTCCGGGTCGTCTCTTGTCTTTTTCGCCATCTTTCAAATTGATAATCACTACCACTCTATCGTCGATCTAGTTTCTTAGAAAAAGTGATCGGAATGTCGCGTGTCGTACGATCTATATTGATCATTCTCGCATCCGTGGCCCTATATACAAAGTATTATTTATCCTTTCAAAATGGCTTCATTGATCTTCTGTCGACCATGGGCTCTCAGGGCTCTCTTGCTGGACTTCAAGGTGGTCTTCGGTCACATTATACTGGCTTGGACCCACTTGATAAATTCCTAAAGGCGTGCAACGTTTTCTTCTGGCCTATTTTCCATGGAACCTCACCTGCTTTATCCCTCTATGCGATTGCATTCGCAGGCTCTATGATCCCGATGTGGCTGATCCTCCTCATGCATACGTGCGTGAAGAGCTCAATTGTGGAAATAGTCATGATGTACGTATGGACTCACATTGTATAGCGTTATACTAATCTTCCAAAATTAGAAATGCCCTCGCCGGTCTCCTGGTGCAAGGAATCGGTCCAGGGGTGATGATGTGTGTTCTACTAGCAATGAGAAATACATCCATGAAAGAGTTTGCAGTCACCGGTATACCAGCGGTATCTATACTGGGGCCAAATGATCTTCCACTGTCACTGGTCGTCTGTTATATACTGCCCTTAGCCTTGAGCAGCCTTCCAGCACCTGCAAGTATATCTGTTCCGTCTAAGCAATTATTTATTGCCATTTGGCAGGGATGGCCCCTTTATATTGCACTTGCCGTTGGAATCGCACACTCCTTAAGGCATCGCTATAGACGAAGTCGCCCACAGCAACTGTTCAGGCATGCTTACGCCTTTGCCCTTGCGTGTTCCATCATCAGCCACGTTGGTCTTCTTTCGATCTCATTCCTTTCGATATCTCCTAAGAGCCCTTTCTTGTCACTGCACTCGGCAGACCTTCACCCACGGAGCTTTTTGATCCCCAGACTTCCATGGCAGGAGGTGAAAATCACATCGCTAGAGTCTGGAGTCCTTAGGTTTCTGCACTGGGACTATAGTATCTCATCCACGGGGGCTCTGCTATGGTGCTATGATGTGTATTGGAAAGACAGAATGAGAGGCAAGGGGTGGATCGCTTTTTTCTCTCTTTCATCTCGACTAGCTACAATGAGCCTGGCGTTTGGTCCTTGTAGTGTAGCACTTGCACTCTACTGGGCAGCATTGTCAAAGAATTTGATGAAGAGCGAGAATGCGAGGAAGAGATAAGTTTTGCCAAGGAAGGAATTTCTTTTTATCTGCTATAGTAGGCTCAGCTCCAGCCATGTAGCTATATTCTATAAATGTTAATGCATTAGATCATGTATATGCTAGTAAGACATGTGTAAATGATAGCTAAGTGTAACGGCCACCCATGATGTCGTCTCTGCAGTTAGAGACTCCAGGGTCAGCAAGTTGTTTATTCATCCACGTTCACGCTTACCAAGTCTTACAAAAAAGGGCCTACATAAGTGAAACAATTGGAGGCAGCTCTCATCCCATTTTCCATTCTCCAATGACAGTAGACGCTGAAACATGATACGTGATATGCATCTCGGGGCATGGCTGAAAAGGTCGTCAGCTGTTCGTCAAGCTCGAGTACACTAGATTACTTTTGATGTACGATTTTACCCTATCATTCTACCAATGGTGCCACTAGGAAATCCAGGGAAAGGGCTATCATTTAACAAGTAGCTAGCAACTGCCTAGACTATGTGGCGCTCCATTGGTCTGATCAGCTCTGGTCGATAATAAGCGGTAACATACGGGTGATCATTCTTGTAGGAAAAGGAAATATCGTGATGCTCTCCAACCATCTTCCCATCCGGGGTGGAGCTGACCAAAGAAATCGTCAGTATCTTTATACAGAGATTCTGGGATGGATTTACACGTCAGGAAAACTTACAAAACAGACACAAAGTCTCTTTGGTATGAGCTGGCGAGCTCATCCCAGCCCTCACTCTTGAAAAAATCCACTAACCCTTCAATGACCTTCCCATCTCCCGAACCGTAGAACCTCACAGGGATGTAAATCTTAGCCTCGGGTTTGGCACTGTTCTCCCGCAGTTCGTAGTTGTAAATGACCCCGGCAGTCAGATGGGGGCATGGGGGGAGATCCTGGTTCTCATCATGATCCTCTGGGATCGAAAGAGCAAGATGCCATAGCCTCTTCAGCACCGCCAATCCCCTTTGAGTCTCGGCGTCATTGAGCCGTCCATCCAGCGTGTAAATGTTCTCAATATGGGACCAGCAGGTTTTGGTCGTAAAGCCATACAGCTTCAGTCTTGCGGTATTTGACATATTCTCGGCCAAGTCAAAGCTGATGAACTCTGGTTGAAATATCCATCCACCCGGCTGTCTGGGGTTTCCGCATTCCTGGAGCAGGTCCAGAGTTCTCTTATATGACTTTATCGGGGATCCTAGATTATTGATCGCTGTCCAGATCAAATCATGGTTCTCGATGTTCATCTGGAGGGCCTTCCATCGCGGGTTGAAGTACACTTTGACTCGGGGTACAGGTTCGAAATCATAACCTAACATCGATGCAACAACCAGCTGGTTGTATTGTGGCACGGGCTTTCTAGCATCAAGGCCGACCGTATCTTCATCGGCGACAAGGAAGGCTTCGCTGAAGTAGTCGAAGAGAGTCATATCCATGTCGGGCAGTGCTTTCTGGATCTGCTTGATTGTCTGTATAACGCCTTTCTGGTTGAATGGGTCGGATGCCGTGCCTGCCAGAGGAGCCGTAGGCACATTGCTGAGACGCACCGTGCATTTATCCTTGTGAAAATTGAAGCTAACCTGGCCTGGAGTATGATTATATGTTACATAGCTCTTCCAGAAGAATTCGCCGTCGATTGAGGGTCGCGGCCCGTAGGAGGGGACAATGAAATCTTTGAAGAAAGAGAGAATATTCGCTTGGCTTTCGACTGAGTACTTAGAACACTGAAGCATTCGGCTCAGAATGGGAGCTAACGAGTCCCACCAGAACTGCTGGTCTGCATCAGGCAATTCGACTCCTCGAACCATGTCACCAATAGTTAACAAAGAGTTGGTCATGGTGATTTGGCCTCAACAGCATCAAGAGACCCGGTATGGATTACGGATCAGCACAGTTCAGGGACCGCATCTTGTCTTTATGTCTCAAGCTGATTGCCATTTCCAAATCGACTGCATGAATCCACTTATTCGTCAGTAGTGACTTCCTTGCATTCTGCATACGTTAGTGGCATGCAAGATCGAGTATGTCGTAGACTGTCCACACCGCTCTTTGGCATCTTTCATATCCCATGCTCGGTCAAACCGATGGCATCGTCTCTGTGTTCATCATCTACATCATTGAATATTTTCCACAGGCACCCAACAAATTCATTGCCATAGGTTTTAATATTCAGCATTTAATTGAGTGTTTTCTATCTCTTCGGGGCTTCGTGCTTTCACATACTGGCTTATAATTAGTATTGGTGTAATCTACATTTCCCTACATACGGTCTCGCACCGAAAGCAAAATGAGAATCGGATATTATTCCCAAAAGTGTGAGCCCTCGAGGGCATTACGCAGTGAGACACAGGACCTTTCAAGGCTGATCAGTGCTATATTCTCTCCGAGCTCACCCAATCTGTTATATTTAACGTAATTCACTACCCTACCACGACAGCCCGGCCGAGAAGTACGCTAATGCATGCATGCCACTTTACTTTTTTTACTAATAATTATTACTCGTCAATCATCAGTATGTAGCTCATAGCTTTGTCTGTATTTAATTTGTTATATGCATCTGAAAGAATAGTTACCATATTTATTACCTGCGGCGTGCATACATTAGCGTATTTCTCGGCCGGGCTGTCGTGGTTGGGTAGTGAGTTGCCCATCCTACCGAGTCACCAACTCCAAAACACCCCTAGTAAATACGTTTTTCACATATCGCAACGACCGGGGCTCATATACATGGCAAATTTCAAGGTCATGTTCTCTATGGCTAACGCAGTACCTGGGCGAACTCTTAGCAATTTTGGTGAGAGGATAATTCCGATGTATATATTTCTAGCTCATATAGCTAATTAAGTCATAAATTATCATGTCGTTATAATCCGACTTTTTGATTTTTTTGATATTCAATTATTATACGAAGTAGAGTATTCTTTTTTGGTATTGGTATATCTATACCAGAATAAATCAAAGCGGTGTTTGTTGAGATATCAGTTTCTATGTGTTTTGGAGCGGGCGACTCACTAGTGAACTGTTTCGCATCTAGCATTATCTATATAGCCTAGTATTGAAGATATACAATAGGGCCACGACGATGATCAGATTGATAGATGATAATAGTAAAAAATAGAAAGTCTCTGCTAAGAGCTTCCCCATAGCCTGTGCGACCGATACTCGGCCGTTACAACACGCTCGAGTTCATGAGTAATCCAGAGTTACATACAGAAACATAACTCAGGAAATGGAGTGGGCACTGAATGAATCAGCCCGTTCTAGGAGGGAAGTTACCACTCCACATACTTCGACAAATTGCGTTAGCCGCGGTTCTCTGTTACTTCAGAATCTCCTTTTGAGGGTCGAGAAGACACTACGGAAGTAGCCTGGTAAATCCGGATGCAGAGGGCCACGAGCAGATCTACCAGGCATAGCAGAATGCTCGGTATGCCGCATAGAATCGCGGTCATGATAAGCTGGGTGATTAATTCTAGGTGGCTTTAGCATGCATCAGCGTGGGTAGCGCGGGCAACACTTACCGATGGTTGATCTCCGACCCGTGACAGTATCCAGAAGCTCATCACGGATGATCCTTGGCGCCCCGGACCATGCCCACGGACCGACCAGGCGAAACTTGGTGTTCAGGGTGCCCCCCATGGCCCAGAACACGATCACCTGCCACCCATGGGCGAGGGCCTGGAAGAACGAGGGGGCCGCACCGATATCCAAGGCCAGTCGGTGGGCAAACATATCGTGGTCGACTCCATATTCAATGCGGCCGCTTGGATTGCTGAAAAGACGATAGGAATCGTCGGCGACGAGAGGGCCGGGCAGACGGTTAATGAGATTCAACACCCAGACCTGGACTTGCATCTCGGCTAGGGGTGGAATAGCACCTGTTGATCAATCAATCGTTAATCACCCGGTGATGAAAAAGGGGGGGGGGGGGAGGAATGTCGTCCTACCGAAGCTGGGCCGCACAAAGCCAATGTAGCCGACGGATGCATCGCCCGTTCGCCAGATGCCGCGCTGATCGGCCTGATCGGGCGTGCAATACTCTGAGCCTAGGAAGGGAAATGACTGGGTGTACCCAGTCGCCAGCACCAGCACATCGGGCTTGAAGCGTCGCTCCTGAAGCAATACCTTGCTATCCGGGTGGGTGTTCTTCTCGAAGTGCACCACCCCGTCCTCATCGATATACTCGGGCCAGGGCGCCAAGTCAATCTTCCGGGACCCTGTGTCGGGCAGGACGGCCTGAACGATGCTGGATCGCAGACGGTGGACCCAGCTGTGCGATCGGTAGGGAGCACTGATGTAAGGCATGGCCTTGGTGGACTTGCAATAGAAGTCTAGGAGATATATTAGTCGTGGGCTCTTTCACTTTTCCCTCTCCGCCATCAATACCCATCCCGATCGTACGTACAATGGGACTCATCATATTTGTCCTTCGGCAGACTGCCCACCCACTGGTCGAATCCCCGGGTGGTCCCAGTCACCAGCCAGGAGCCAGCCTTAACCGTCCATCGGGACAGCGTGGTCTGAAGGGCTCCACGGACCTTGCGGTGGACATACGAGTTCACGAAGAGGTAGGGCCGACTGAGATCAACAGGAAGCGCCTTCCCGGGCGTCTTGCTGGTTACCCAGCCGAACAGTTTGATCTCAGGCAATCTCTATATGCTGCGGGTTAGCGTCCGGAAGGAGCGTACGCGGTCACCCACTCACCTTGGGCCCAATCACGAATCCATTGCGGTGGCACACAGTCGTGGATTTGGTCGAGTCAGCCGTCACCGAGAAGTATGCGATGTCCATCCCCGTCTCCCCAGTCCCTAGCACCATCACGTTAGTGTTCTGGCCCAGCTGCCGCACATGTTTGTATTCGGACGAGTGAAAGACCACCGGCACGCGGTCCAGCCCGGGGATGGACGGGATATTGGGCTTGACGTGCAGTCCGGAGCACACCGCGACGGCATCGCAGTCCCAGGTGCGTGTCTGCCCTCCGTGTGAGACAGTGATTCGGTGTTTCCCCTTGCCCGTGCGTTCGACCTTCTCGACCTGTGTCGAGAGGCGGATATGTGGCCAGAGCCCGAACCGGTCACAGTAGCCCTCCAGGTACTCAACGTACTCCGCTGCAGACAGGTAGTCGACGGATTTGTCGTGCCAGCGGTAGTCAGAGAAGGTGGTCAACTGGGCGGACGAGACGAGCTGTGCCTCATTTAGCGGTTGACTCCAATGAGCAGGGTTGACATTACCTCGGCCCTATCGTAGGTGCGATAGGAAAAGGTACCTCCCACTCGATCCTCTGATTCAAACAGCTGTACTTCGATCGGGTCGACCGGCTGGAAGTGGTGTGCGGCTAGCAAATATTTGAGGGTAACGAGACCCGATGGGCCGCCTCCAATGATCGCAACTTTCATGGTCAGTAGATGTCAAGATCTATGAGTGCTGAAGGGAATTCCGACCCTCTCCGATATATACCCGGCATGAGAGGTCGGTTGTGATCCATGGAAGGGGCACGCTGCAGTACCCCAAGCCACCGGATCTATTTGCCTGTCGTCGGGTTTTACGCCGTGCCGCTTTTCCTCGCCTCGAGGGTAGCCCCAGACTGTGTATCGATTGGTATGAAGCAGCAGCGAATCGCGCTGTGGCAAGGCTGTTCGATCTATGTCTCACTCTCGGTTGCCGTCTTGCAGTGGCTCACATCTCCTGCATCTTACAAAATACATGCTTCAAAGGGTAACATCTGCATTTGCTTTCACATTTGCCTGTTCCGCTATCCCCCACCTTACGCTGGTCATCATTGGTGGCTGTTCGTCCGACTTGGCGTGGAAATCCCTCGTTATGCCCAGGCTGTTCTGGGCAGCTGAGCAGGTGGCAGACGTCAAGCAAGGGGTCAAGCACTTCCTCCAATAGGACTACCCTACTACCCTACCACGACAGCCCGGCCGAGAAATACGCTAATGCATGCATGCAACTTTACTTTTTTTTGCTAGCTTTGTCTGTATTTAATTCGTTATATGCATCTGAAAGTATACCATATTTATTACCTGTGGCGTGCATACATTAGCGTATTTCTCGGCCGTGCTGGCGTGGTAGGATACAGCATTTCTGCGGTGGCCCTATTGACATGGTGCATGGCATTTTACTACCATTACGTGATCAGGTATGAGACCTTGGTCGGGCGAATTTGTTGTCTGCTGTGGATCCCAGCAATGGGGGTGGTGTTCGGACCATACAGTGCTTCCATATTCCTCTACTACGAAGCTGAAAGCCGTGCCCTACAGAAGCAGGCGTAGCTGCATCGGACAGCTCAAGGACACGGACCTCGGTGATGCAGCATTTTGGCCCAATCAAGAGAGCCTTTTCCTTTCTGGGCCAGTGAAAAGACCCTTTAATTGTCCCAAGTACTATCCACGAGGTTACATACATTCTGACCATGTAGTTAGTGGATCATCAACTCCTTGCGCTTCGCATCCTGCTGCACTGAGATAATTTACCAACGCTGCAAGATCTTATCGTGCTTTCGGCAGAGCCTGGATAAGTCCGAAAGCTCAGCACCTGCAATGATGAGCAATCGTACGCCCGTGACCAGGATAAATATCCCAGCAATGAGCGATAGTCAACATCAAACTGCCCCAGTGACCGCGCTCAAGATTGTAAATCTTCCAGCATCGCTTGCTCTTTTGACACCCATACCACCCTCCATCTTCCGCAACCATGTCCTCATTCAAGAGTCAGTGTGAAATCATCATCGACAAGCCCGCCCATGTGGTCTATGACTTTGTGACCACCGTCTCGAACTGGATCGGGATCCACCCAGCCTGTAAGGGAATTGAGGGCGACGATGGTCTGGACAAAGAGGCTACTGTCGGCCTCAGATTCACCGAGACAATCGATGTACGTGGCTGGGTCTTCCAATGTCACTGGGAGGTGCGGAAAATGGTCAAGGACCAGTACTTCGAGTTCAGTCTGCCCACCGATTTCATTCTGCCTCCAGTATACAACACCATCATCACCTACATCTTCGACCCCATCGGGGACAATAAGACGCGCTTTATTCGAACCATGATCAACTGTACCAATGCCGACGCCACTCCAGAGCAAAAAGCCGACTTTGCCGATACCGACATGCACACCGACTATCTCAATGCAGTCAAGGCCCGGTTGGAGATGTCCTGAATATGAGAGTGATGGGTATGCAAGGTGTTGCATAATGGATATGCAACCGAGTTCTGTAATGCAATAGCTGTGGATATGTTGCATTTGACACGTCTATTATTCCGTCTTTTGCATAGAGTCTTGGCGGTGGTAACCCGTCTAGATTATCGAAAGCCCACCTGCACCTGAGAGCTAAGTGATCACGTATCCGAATGTACTTCTTTGCAGCTATTTGTAGGATGCGGAGACCTGTGCACGTAGGATGTTTAAAACTTGTGATACAGCGCCAAGCCAATACGTCGTAGAAGCTCTAGCAGTAGATGGAATCCCGTTGCGGCCCACCGCTATATCAAAGAACCATCGGGACAAAGACACAGCTTTATCATTTCTCCTAGTAATTTCTGCATATGGAGCGTCGCACAGTGCTCATCACCGGATGTAGTCAAGGTGGCATCGGGTCTGCCCTGGCGGAGGCGTTCCACCAGAGGGGATTCCAGGTGTTTGCAACCGCCCGCAAGACGGAGAAGATGAAGCACTTAAGAGATTTAGATCGGATGACGCTGATCCCTTTGGATGTCACTCAGAAATCCCAGATAAGTGCGGCGGTTGAATTGATCCAGAAGCACACCGGAGGGACACTGGACTATCTGGTGAACAATGCCGGGGATGGGTACATTATTCCGGTGCTGGATTGCGATCAAGTCCATGGCCGGCAGATCTTCGAGGTCAACTTCTGGGGTCCCCTGCGAATGATCCAAGATTTCTCTCCTCTCCTGATTGCGGCTCGTGGGACCATTGTTAACATCAACTCGGTTGCCAGCGAGACATTGCCCCTATGGCTCGGTACGTGATATAGAACCCTTCACATCAAATCTCTCACCAACCACCTATAGGTATCTATTCCAGCTCCAAGGCTGCATTGCTCGCCCTCAGTGAGACCCTGCGCTTGGAACTGAAACCGTTTGGAGTCCAGGTGCTCTCCGTCATGACGGGAGCAGTGCAGACAATGATCTTTCAGACAAACTACCGGCTTCCGCCCGACTCCGCGTATGTGGCATGGGAGAAGCAGATCGCCGCGCAGGCAGAGGGAAGTGAGCAGGCGTCCCGCATGTCAGCATCCGTGTACGCCGAACGAGTGGTGGGTGATATCTTGAATCGCCGAGGAGGCATTACCTACCGTGGCCAAATGGCCTCTTTTGCTTACTGGGTGGTGGCCCTTATGCCACGCTTCTTAAGGGTAAGCGCCACTGGAGATGTTCCCAATGGCACTAGATTATGCTAATATTGGGAATTAGGACCTGGTCACGGCGAAAATGGCTGGAATTAGCTAAGGGGCTGCAGACTTTTACTGATTGCGTTTGGATTGTAGCTTCTTTGGTGGATGGCAATGGACAGAATACTGCACTGAAATGTGTCGGATGCAGGTGTATCTTGCAGACTCAGCGTTAGAGATGCTCTGTCAGTACAATCAACTATATATTGAAATAGGGGAGCGCTCGTAGGCGAGTCCACTGCTAGCACAGGTTGGGTCACAGTAAAACCTAGCAATCCTATAGAAGCCAGTAAACAGCTAAAATTGGGGTACAAAGAGTGCGTATTCAGTACCTAGAGCGAGTATACGGTTGCAAATCTTACTACCATGGAATCTGGGAACTTTTACAGCCATGTAACTATCACACGATTGAATACCGTATCTCGCCACTACAATATGCACGAATATGCTAAGGAGGGAAAGCCGCGATGGCAGTTAAATGCTTTTGGCGGGTCGAGAGCAACAACAATCAACAGTACTGATCTAGACGCATGCAGGCACTTAGGCTACCGAGGTGATCAACATGCTGTATTTATGAGAACCTCTGGGACAATATATCATTGGGAGATCATCAAACCAAAATTGACACTTGATTGTTGTCCAATCTAGAGAATGAACCTATTTGCAGTTGGGCAGCAGCCCTGGTAGGCCGAATTTTAGGTTTAGGTATCGAAATGGGATATGGCCTCCCTAGGCCCTAAACAGGAATCATGGTTTTTGTTGTGGTCTAGTGGTAAAGTACGCTGTATTATTTCCCACATCGGTATCAATATCACCAAGTTCGCTGTTCCCCCACTACAATGCATAATTGAATCCCACAGAAACGCCGGTGGCTGGCAATACCCACGTCGCTCGTATATATGCATACTCGGCCCTACTATGGTTTTAAAACAGCTCTCGTATCCCACAAAAGCAACCTGAACACATCAATTGGAACAAAATCACACATCCAGCTGTGCTGCCATCATGTCCAAGCCCTTATTCGAAGCGTATCCTCTCACAGGGCTTGATCATACGATTCCTCCATGTTATGTTCGCTTCTTTCTAACTTTCCCCGTGCCGGATGTGGCATTGGCTGTCAATCAGCTGCAAAAGGGAGCTGACAATTTCATCGAGAAACTTCCTTTCCTGGCCGGATATTTGGCTCCATGCGAGACCCCCGGCGTACGCCCAGGGCAGCTCGAGATTCGACCTCCCGCTGGGGAAAGGAGACCTGTCTGCCTCGTCGCACATCACTCGAACTCCTGTCTCGCAGATTCCAGTGCGACGTCGACGACGGAACAGCTGGGCACCGCCAACGAGAACTATCTCCCGGTCCCTTTCTTCCCGGAGCTAGACAAGCCGGTGCCCATCTTCCGGGTCAAGGTGAATGCCATGACGGACGGCATCATTCTGGGATTTGCGTTCCACCATAGCGTGATCGATGCCACCGGGATTGGCACCATTGTCCGGGACTTTGCCAGATGCTGCCGTGGCCCTGATGGCGGTCCCCTTGAAATCAGTCTGGAGTCTCAGCACGACTCTAGAGAGAAGCTGAGACACTCCGGAGGACCTCCCGATCCGCGGTTTGAGCACGGTAGGGAGTACCCTCTCGTGGCGTCTCTGCCCGCCGACCTCGAAGGCATGAAGCAGGTCTTGATCCAGACGGCCCGTCTCATGTCGACGCAGTATTTCCGCATCCCTGCCAGCCTAGTCAATGCGCTAAAGGAAACCTGCAATCAGATGCTTCGGGAATCACCAGCGCTCAGGGACGAAGGGGAGAATCCATGGATTTCGAGCAACGATCTGGTGGTGTCGCTGTTGTGGCTGTGTCTGAATCGCGTTCGGTATCCTGCAGAGAATACCAACGTCATTCCTCCATCCGATTCCTCGGTCTGCATGGCCGTGAATATCCGAGGGCGTATGCAGTCGCCCATTGATCCAGGATACGTTGGCAACGCCATCGTCCTTCTCCGGGAGAGCGTTGGCATGAATGCGTTTCTGCATAAACTGGGCGACGATGATCCCCTGGGCGCCCAATGTTACGAAACAGCGAAACGGCTAGGCCGAGAAGCGTGGGAAGCAGCCCTGGTGCGCATCGCCCTGGCCATCCGCCGCAAGCTCAACACCATAAATGAGAGTTACGTGCGCAGTGTTATCTCCTATCTGGAGGACGTCCCCGACCTGTCCACTGTGGCGTTTGGCCAGACAGACTACCACATCAGCAGCTGGCGGGACATTGGCGTCTACGAGGCTGATTTTGGTGGTCACATGGGCCATCCCAGCGACATGCGAGTACCAGATGGGATGGTCGATGGCATGTTTTACATCTTACCTCGAAGGCAGGGAACACACCCTTGCTGGGAGATCCATGTTACTATCCACCAGGACACAATGAAGCGACTCATTGCAGACCCTGTGTGGGCACGATATACAGCGGGAAAGACTCCATCACTCTGCCGGGATGGATGAAGGGACTTTAATTTTCATATGGAGTGAGAAGAGATTGCTTGGATATTAAGGGGGTTGTTCATTGTACTGGGCTCGGTCGGTTCATAAATGCCCAAAGTATCTGGCATCTGCTCTTGCTGGAAACAGTGACTCTGGGGGTAGTGAACACAACATCTATAGTCTAGCCTGTTGGACAATGTCGGTCATCGCATTGATGCCTCCATTTGTTTGCAGACTGAGCCTGTCTTTCTTTTTTTTTTGTCAGGGTATAAATCCCCTGCTTTAGATAGATTGATATATAGATCATGATTTCTCTTCTTCTCTCTCCTCCTAGCTAGTAGCTTCAACATAGCGAATCAACAACTTATGTCCTAAATCAGTAAATAGTCATTATATCCTTCACCCTCATCCAGAGAAACGGCTAGGTGCCGTTCTTGCTGTCCCTCTCCGCACCAGAATGAGAACCTCCTGGCACCAGCGGCTCTGGGGGTACCTTCTTCTTGACTGACACGTTCCATCGCACAATGAATGCCCCAAATACCGACAGGGAGGCTGCAGCCACTCCAACAAAAAATGTATGGGTGACAGCGATGTTGTACGCTTGCAGGATTGACGGCAGCACATCCAAGGGGAATCGGTCGGACAGATCAACAGTGCCACCATCGAGAATTGACTTCGGGTTTACGGAGGGAGCCAGGATCTGCACGCTTTTCGCCAATTGATTCTGGAAGACAGTTTGGGCAATGGCACTGAAGATGGAGCCCGCGAGGTTCTGCATGAAGATCACGACCGCCGTAGCTACTGGCACATCGGCTGCAGGGACGTCGGCCTGGACGACCAGCAGAGGTAGCTGGTATCCCAAGCCAGCTCCCATTCCAATCATTGCCTGATATCCAATCCATTCAGCAGACCCCGAGCTGCGCTGGAATGTCGAGCAGAGACCGGCACCTACAGCCAGCAAGACTGATCCCAAGACCAGGAAGGGCATCATGTACCCCACCCTCATGATTACCACACTGGATAGAAGGCCAACCACAATCGTTCCGACCACGGTAGGCAGATTCATAATGCCGGACTGGGAGGCCGACACGCCCTTGACGGACTGGAACCATATGGGGAGCTGTAATTCCTTGCGTTAGTTCTATTCCATGCGACGGGGGAGACTGACATACGTAGTATCCGAACACTATCACGCAGCCAACGAAGGGGATGGTGTAGATACAGGTGCCAACTACGCTCCGTCGCTGCATCAGTCTCGGCGGGATAGTGGCCTCCTCCTGCTTCCAGCATTGGATCAACAGCCACACCATCCCCAGCACTCCGGCAATAATGAATAGCATAATGATCCGCACGTTCTGCCAGTTATATCGTGCGCCACCCCACTGAAGCGCCAGGAGCAGCGAAACAATCGCCGGGATGAAGACCACAGTGCCGATCCAGTCTAACCCCTTGATTTTCTGACTGGTGGGTACATTCTTCTTTACCTTTATGGTTTTCATGAAGAGGAAAACCACTACTGCGGTGACACCGCCGATAGGAAGGTTAATGTAAAAACACCATCGCCATGACAGTCGATCAGTGAAGACACCGCCTAGTCTGTAGACGTTTAGTCAATGGACGCCAACGGGATAGAACTGACTCACATGGGTCCAGTCACCGTGGCAATGCCCGACATGATGCCAATGAAAGCGGTCAATAGCGGCCGTTGGTGCAGAGGCGCGATGTTGCTCAAGATGATCACCGAGCCAGGAAAGAGCCCAGCGGATCCCAAGCCCGAGATAGCTCTGCCTACGATCAATCCCGCCGAGGACGGGGTGATGGCGCAGACCAGTGACCCCAGTTCGAACAACCCGAGAGAAATCAGGTAGGTCCATTTGACGGAGTAGTAGGTGTAGATCTTGCCAAAGGAGAGAATGAAGGCGGACGTGACCAACAGATAGGCGCTGACATACCAGCTCATGTCCTCGAGGGAGTTGAACTCAGAGGTGATCTTGGGAATCGCCGTTGCGAGGATCGTATTATCCTAGTTCGAACATCAATAAGGGACCATCGCAGTCAGTGGATGGACCAGGTCGCCTGGGACGACGATTCGACTCACGAGTCCAACACAGAAGGAGCACAGCGCGACTCCCAGGGTGATCAGAATCACGCGAATGAGACCGGGATACTCCACAGAATCATCTTGGATGTTGGTATCGAGGCTCTCTTGTTCCGGCAATTGCGATCCTCCCCCATAACGAGAGGCGGTCTCCTGCGAATGGTCCTGGTGCTGGAGTGTATCCAGCTGGATGTTTCCATTGTCCGGCATTGTGTGAAGGTCTGTGCTTGTCTCGTCTTGCCCACTGCCGTCTTTTTTACACCTCACAGACTCCAAGATCAGAACGACCGAGTCAGAAATGGCGAGGCAAATATGCAAGAATGCCAAAGGCTAGTTAGACTTCGACTGGGGGAGGTTAGTAGGCGACTTGGTGGTTTCGGCGTCGGGCAGGGCTTTTCTTTGTCGCGCTTACCTCCTGCAAGGGATAGGAAACTGGCTTAGAATATTATTCAAGTGGGTCTATATTGAGCCTGTCCTCCATTCCTCCATTCCAACGTGTTATTTTCGCTTCTGCTAGTTCTAATTGCTTTTCTCGGGTGCCTTAAACGCCACACGCTACCATAAACAGATTGCCTTACGATATCTGACTACCTGATTACCAGGCTCAGTCTCATTTATTGGCCGCTACCTTGTTCTTGACTCCTCATGAGAACCGCGAACCGGCCCTTTGTCTAGGATCGATAGATAAGCCTAGACTTAATTGAGACTTAGCAGGCGGACTGACTCCACGCTAGACTAGGGGTCATGAAATGGGTAAAATGATAATAATGTATGCCGCCATTCCCGCTGTATGTGGTTAATCGACTGGACGTCCATACAAGGAACATGGCAAACTTGGCGTGCTATCTCCACGATGTCTAGCCAATTTAGCCAGCCCCTTCCATAAATTACCATTTATTACGGATCATATTGTACCATTACAGGTTAGGATCGACCATCATGAGACAGCTGAAAGATCCTGGCTATCGTGCAGAGGGTGGGGTCACAGGTCCTCTGCGTTTACTCCCATGATGCATGGTCAAGTGTCTCACGCATATGGGAGATCGCTGTAACCCGATGCACGATGCAGCACCCCTCGATCGTGTCCAATATGACATGTCACCTGCTGCTTATACAGATTACCATATAGGCCAATGGTAGAAAGGCCATGTGCTCCCTTGCAGCGTACCTAGAGGCCGTCGATCCGTGGACACATCCTATTGTGTGTTATACACAAGGCATATGTGGCTACCGTAGTCTCGGCTGCTCCAGCTTATGCATGTTGGTATTGCTGTCCTTTTATCAGCCATTGAGTATGTCCCTGCAAGCTACGGAGACGAGATCAGATGCAACCCTTGCTAGCCTATTGCAATGTCGGGTACCCTTCATGGCCGAGCCTTTGGAAGATGTTAAAAGATCGGACTGCCCTAGTGAAGAACCATTCTCGTTGTGTCTTCAGAGATAGCTGGGAATGATCAGTGCTCAGCTTCAGCCCAATCATAGTCTGTCACTTGGACTATCGAAACCGACCGATTCTTTCTTTGGGAAAAGATGTTATTCCTCGCTCCAGGATACATATTCCCCCATGTGGCTACACCTGTTACCGTCGCCATCGATTTCGCACAAGCCGTGAAGGAGGGAGCGTATAGCTTTCTTGACCTCAAGGCTTCTCCAATCCCCAACCCTGAATTATTTCAACCACCCTCAAGGGTATCAATTGGGACGACCGGTGGGAGAGAAGAACGAAATGAAGAGGTGAGTCTGAGGGTCTCTCTCGATGTCCAGCGCCATTGCTGATGAGCTGGGGGAAATTAGATTATTCGAGGGCCCTTGAACTACCTGCTCTCTCTTCCGGGCAAGGACATCCGAGGGAAGCTGATTGATGCTCTGAATGAGTGGTTCAGGGTCCCGGAGGACAAACTGAGTACTATCAAAGAGATCGTTGTAATACTGCACACAGCATCTCTATTGTGAGGCTACAATCCACTGATGGAGAGCAAGTAGAGCTAATCTTGACTACTTCCAGGATTGATGACATTCAAGATTCATCCCAACTCCGAAGGGGAAACCCTGTGGCGCATAGGATCTTCGGTGTTGCACAGACAATCAATTCAGCGAACTACGCCTATTTCCTGGCCCAAGCGAAGCTAGCAGACCTCAATGACAGCCGCGCATTTGACATCTTTACAAAGGGGCTACTCAAGCTCCATCGGGGGCAGGGCATGGAATTGTACTGGAGGGACAATTTAATATGTCCCACAGAAGAAGAATACGTCGAGATGGTCTCTTGCAAAACAGGAGGCCTGTTCTATTTGGCAGTGCAGCTGATGCAACTGAACAGCGAGGTAACAGTGTATGCTCACGTCCCTCTCTCATTCAACCAAAATACGCTAATTGACGCAACAGGAACTTTTCGAGCTTCATCAATCTCCTGGGAATCATCTTCCAGATTCGTGATGATTATATGAACCTTCAAAGCGGAACTATGACCAAGACCAAGGGATTTAGTGAGGATCTGACCGAGGGAAAGTTCGGATATCCCATCATCCACAGCATCCATGCTGCACCCAACGACCCACAGCTCATCCAAATCCTCAAACTGAAGACCAACGACGACGTGATTAAGCAGTATGCGGTGCGCTATATAGAGTCCACTGGTAGCTTCGTTTATTGCCGGGAAAAGCTTGACCTGTACCTGCAAGAAGCAAATGAGACTTTCCGGGGCTTGGAGATGTTGTTGGGCCCCTCGAAAGGAATCCGTGCGATTTTGGACTTTCTGAGGACAAGGTAACAAATGCCGTGCAGTTGATGATACTACTGCGACCATTTTATATCGATTAGAATATACATGTCCCACTATTTTCATTCTAATCAGTTGGAAAACATCTACAACGTAGCTGTATAGTAATGACTGGCAGATCATACATATACCCTAGTACGTGAACGTGTCAGCCCTGATCCCGTTCCCCCCTAGGTGCGTGTCCGTAAGCCCACGTGTACGTATCCTCTGCTCTATCATAATTGCTTCTTTTCATGGCCAGTGTAGGAAAAGTAGTGGTGCCCTTCCAGCAGTACGCGTCTGCGACCGCGTCTGTATCGCGTTCGCCTGCTTTTGCATCTCATATTTCTCTTTCCACCCCAACACAAATTTACTACTCGCCTTTCCAGCCCTGTCAGCACGAGATTCTGACGGTTTACTGTATCAAGATGGATCTTGTTACGTATAATCCAATGTATCAGATCTGGATCTGCATCAACTGTCGTGTTATGGATAATGCTCCTGACAATACTGGAACGATATATCAGTTCTACCCTGCCATGCCAGCTCGGGCGAGAACTCGCGCTAGTTAATGCATGCACGCCACAGGCAATAAATATGTTATTCTTTCAAATGGTGTGAGCTGCATACTAATAGTTGGGTAATATTAATTATTGGTATTGGTATTAGTGGCAAAAAAAAGCAAGTAGGGGCGTTTGCATTAGCGTCCCTCCTTCTCGCACAAGCTGGCATGGTAACTGACAATGACCACTGGGAATATCAGAGGACTCGACGATCCGTCCTCAAAAATGAGGCCGGATCGACACCGTACACCGCTCTGCTCTTGTGACAAATAGCCGAGGGTCCCCAGAGCCAAGGATAGTCCCCAATCAACCCCGGCACTAAACATTAGTGCCATCACTCCTGCTCAGGCCCCCCCCGAGCAGAAGGTTCGGGAAAGGGGAGAGCCTAAAGTCTAACCATATTCCGGCCATCCTTCCCCCCCCCCCCTAAGTACCCGAAATATTGATATTTCTCGATCGGGTCTCTATCATTCTGTCAGATAATATTCTAGGATAGGGATAGTCAAGTGGAAGGGTCTTAACGTAATGGCTTTGGTAAGGGAGATGCCAAGGCCAGCTCGCGCGGGTGAACTATGCCTACCTCTTTTGGCCATATCCTCTGAGCATAGATTACCGGCCTTAGCGATCAGGCCTACGAGGTGGCAGAAGGGTAACTAACTAGTTAACTGACTAACTAGTTGACTAGTAGTACTGCCTGTACCGATGCAGAAGCCTAGCGTTTCGACTCCGATGCGCACCGTCGGGCAGATATCACTGTGATATTTGACGCGGATTTAAAAATGGAACTCCAGGGGGCTTTTAGAACAAAGCAAAAGCATCCAAGGCTATATACAGTGACAGTAGAGCTCATCGCCAATGAACTTTCCGCTCCCTGCTTAGGAACCTACTGACACCCACCTAATGAGGTGGCAATCTGGTCATTACTGGGGTACCGCAAAAGGCCATATGACGCGGCACACGGCGAGATGAGTCTACAGAAAAGAATGTTGTGCCCCCGCAGCACTGGTCAATGTTGGGCGTTGAATTATTGTGTGCCTAACGAGTGCATGGATACTGCAGGAGTAGCTGCAAGAGTAGCTACCAAACGAATGATCCCCCCACTCATTGCTCATCCCAGCGACATAGCAAAGTACGTGCTTCAGTTGCATAGTGACACAGGGTCGCTATGATTTCATCTTCCGCGTTGGGTCTAGCAGAGTGCATCCGAGTCGATGAGCAGGATCCCATTTCTGGCACACTGAGTACAGTCTCTCGATGACCTCCGCCGACCAGTACTGAGTTTTGCGCACCGCAGGCACCCCGTCAGCAGCGAAGGTTCCCAGAACATAAGGCTCAATCTCTTGAATAAACTCTTGGATACGAATACCCTGTTCTTCATCTTGTTGGGAGTCTTCGAAGATCGCGAACAGGGCGAGGTATTGATCTGCCTGGAGACTAAAGGCCATGTCTGGTAACTTTCTCCGACTCGTTGGATATTTAGGCTCCCAGTAGACCATTGATCGATCCCGAGGAAATTCACGGAACATTCGCCGGGTGACGGCGACAAAGTCAATCCCATCTTTGAACCACACACTGTCACAGATGTAGCGAGAATCCCGAGGCATGGTGCCCTCCTGGGACACATATTCCTGTTGAATGCTGGTGGATACGCCCTTGAACTCCATGAGGGTCCCATCTGGCATGGCCGTCAGAGAGGGCCCCAGTTTCTCTGCGCCGGTTTCATTGGTACCCAAAAAGACCAGAAACTGCACCAGAATGGCAGCGACGTTGAGTCCAGGGACAATGGTACTGACCACGAGTGGTTCAATGTCGGCGTGTAGTTCGGGGAGAATCTGCGTGCGCGGATCCGGCCTCAATATGGCTCTGTGTTGACTTAGATGAGGGGGTCCATACCTTTAAAATCCACGACACCACCGCGTCTGAACAGGCTGCGGGCCAGATGAAGGTGCTCTTCTCGTGTTCTGCGGCTGCTGGTCGCGTCCGGATAAAAAACCGGGTAACAATTGCGGGGAATTCTACCGAGGTAATTCGTTAGAGGCATGGAGAGAAGTTATAAGATGGTAGAGGTACCTGGACCAGCGCCTCGAGCTGCCCAGAATAGGTCCGCATTTTCACTTTCGCTACAATGTTTGTATTCGCCGTCGGCCGTAATCAAATCAACGCCGACCAGGTACTCGCATGCCCACCCATAGCTCTACTCGTTCTGTTAATGTGGATGTAATGGATCCTGAGGTTTGCAAATCCCCAACGTACCCGACAATTAAGTCCCATCCCACCTTGGAGAAAGAATCCACCCAGTCCGACATCTCCACAGTGGCCGACGGGCACAAAGCGCCCATGGGGGACCAGCAGGTCGTTCAGCTGGGCGCTCGTGGCACTGGGAGAGGCACTGGCAATGGCGGTCGTGGCATCGTACTCCAGATGCCTGAAGTCGACCAAATCGATGAGAATAGAATCCGCACACAACGTCCAGCCTGCTAGGCTATGGCCTCCGGATCGGATGCGGATTTGCTTGTCAAGGTCAATGGCAAGCTGCACCGCCTGCTGGATTTGCTCCACATTCTTTGGTCTCACAATCGCATAGGGTAATTCCGGCGGGATTCGCTGATTGAAAGTCCTGCTGCGTGCCGATTCATATCCTGGACTGTCCCTCCATAGAGTGGCAAGATCGGCTGGGAGATTATGCTTCATTTTTATTGTCGAGGTAAGCTGATACGCAAAATGCAAAGGGATTCAAATCTTTGAACTACTGAGAAGGATGGCTACCCTTCTTGTTAAAAACCAGGGAATTTTACGTATCATCCCGTTGAGCCCCACAGGGACACGACGTTCTAATGGCGATAGGTATCACCGCCAATATGCAAGGGTTGCGCATTATGAGGCCCAGGTTGCCACTCAGAGGCCGCATGCAGTGTGATATTGATTCTACTTGATCCCAACCCTATGTTGTATGCGAGAAAGCAATTGTCAGTCGAAGATAAACTCCTGCATATTGAGACAAGTTGATCAATGCATATGCACGGTGTTATGCATCTGTTTCACACACCGACATTCAATTCATGTTCAGAAGGCTAACAAAATATATATAAGCGATAGAACAACAGTAACGTGAGGGAATACCCTTAAATAATTTGCCAAAGGATTAAGCAATTAACACAAGGCTGCCACTTCCCATATTGCCATTGTCCTTCCCGCTAGCCTGTCAAATCCAGGTTCATTTTGGAGACGACCCGATCCCGGGGAAGCAGAATATGTCTTCAACTCTGCTCCAGTCTGCACCCATTGCCATGATGCGGGATTCCCTAGGAGCATTCAGAACCTTCACTCTCCTGACTGTCGGGCTTCTCCTGAGTCTCTGCGTGATCAAGACAGTGAAGCATCGACGGCGGTATCATGGATTAGTAGGCACTCTCCTTCCCCCACAGCTCCATTGTAATATGTGAGGTTAATCGGTTCCTATCCTCGCTGTAGCCAACGCCTCCGCATAATATGTTGCTGGGGAATCTGGGGGTCGTGCTAGCCGAGATTCTGGCATCGCCTGAGGGGTTTTTCCATCTATTCTGTGTTGAGAACATCCGACGTAAGTACAACATGCCCTCGGTCTTCTATCTTGACCTTTGGCCGATCCTACCCTCGATCATGGTCGTCGCCGAACCGGCCGTCGCCAAGCACATGACGCAAGTACAGCCCCTGCAACGCGAGCGATTTTCGCCAAATCTGTTCAGTCCGCTATTGACTGCCGAATTTATCCTGGCCATGGAACAGAAGAATTGGAAGAAGGAGAACCCGGCCCTGAATGCGGCCCTCACATCGACACGCGTGAACGAAGCCACGTCCTTGCTGTTCCCCAGCCTGCATTCGTTACGCTCCCGCCTACACTCAATATCCCAAAGTGGGAAGCAGTATCCTATCAAAGACCTGTTGATTTCGTATATCATTGAGGTCGGCGGCGTCATCCAGCTAGGCGGGTCCTTTGATCTCCTGGCCGAGACAAGCGCCTTGGACCCCATTATTAAGCGGTCGTTGGATATGATGGGATGGAATCCCGTCAAGCGATATATCTGCTCGAAGGAAATAAAACAGCGCACAGACTGTCTCAACAGGGTTCTTGTTGCAACTGTCCAAAACACAGCGCAAACAGGGGAATCTGGCATGATGAGCCAATCACCGATCTATTTGGCCCATGTGGAACAATTGGCAAGCGGTCGAATGGATCATGCAGAATCGATCGCCTATCTGGTTAACACGTATGTAGCTGTCTTCCTAGGAGAATCGCGCTAACTGAGTCCACGCAGAATGAAGGTGATCATTTTGGCTTCGGTTGTCACAGCAGGGGCGGCCTCGGTATGTATTCTGGATGCTATACTACATTCTACCGCAGTCACAGCTGACCTGGGTCAATCTAGTACTGTTACCTGTTCCTGCATAAGCATCCCGACTGCTTGCGGGAGATGCGGGAAGAACATGATCGTGTGTTTTCCCCCGACAGAACCCAGACATGGGAGCTGTTGCAGAAGGAGCCACACCGGATCAATTCATTACATTTTACCCTGGCCGTCGTCAAGGAAACCCTGCGCCTGATTGGTGTTGGTGGGGTGTTTAAGAAACTGAAAGCTGAGTAGGTTGCCCTGAGATAAGGGGAAAGAACCAATATTGAAAGCCTTCTAGGGAGTTCCTCGAGACCGAAGGCAGCGTATATCCGGTGGTGTGCAACGTGGTAGGTGCTTCCAATTCCCTCATTCCATGCAACGTATAGTCCTATACTGATGATTTCCAGGCTTTTATCTGTCACTTGGCCATGGGTCGTCGTGCAGACCTGTTCCCTGATCCCGATGCCTTTCGGCCTCATCGCTTCCTCCCTGGGGCTAACCCCCCCATTCCTGCTGACTCATTTCGTCCTTTTGAGAAAGGCCAACTGAGTTGCCCGGGGCAAAATCTGGCTTTAAAATCGCTGGTTTTGCTGCTCTTAACCACTAGCCGCGAGTTTGACTTGGTTCCTGTGTTTTCTAAAGGTGCCCCCCGAGCGGCAGAATACCTGGGTGGCGAAGGGTATCCTGAGTTCCACATTGGGCCTCATGTGAATAAAGGAATGCCCGTGATGGTTCACACCAGGGTCGACGCATGATAGGTTGTCGCTCAATAGATAATGTTTTTTTCACGGCCATCTAGAAAGAGTATCCTGGCTATTTATTCCATTGCTAAGATAGGACTAGAGAGTGAAAATAGCATCTATAAATGGACCAATTTGCTTGATGCTGCAGTCGCCGGTCAGGACATATTAATTCACTTCTATTGGTGACCTCACGCAGTCAAGAGGGACGAGAAAAGTATAGTTTGGCTGTAACGGGTCACCCGTCGCAGACCGTAGCGTCAGCTAGGGCCCGTCCGCGCTCCTTTGTAGGAAGGCAATATGTCTGTATTGCAGTGGATTATATATGCAGAGGGAAGGCGGGAGGGACAAAATCGAGACTTGACTGGGTGAGAGAGATGAGGAGCTACCCGCAGAGGCAAGCAACTGACTCTCGGGAGTTGTAGGAGGGAAGAGAAGCCCTTCGTAATGTCGGTGACTCGGTGTAGACATCACATGAGACAGGTACCTGGGCATTGTTGTCGGAATACGTAATCCAGTGCACCAACCTTGGAATCAGTGATCTCAACAACTCTGGTTTCGTAATAGTATCCACCTTGAATTCAGGTCAACAATTGTGAGGCAATCGCAAATAAACTACTCCCTCAATATTTAAAGGCATATTCTTTGGAATTTCTTGAATTGCATGTATTGAAACTAAGCTACATAAAATATCTCGGGTTAAATAAAAACTTGCGAAATGTAGTCAATGGTTTTGGTACCATATACCATGTTGTCTTGACTGCTAACATATCATACCCGTAAGCTCCAACATACGCATTTGAACGACTGGTGGACTATTGACAGATGTCATTCTGGCCCTAGAGTGCAAAGTGTCGAACATCAATCACACCAGGGAGCGCAGCTTCACTTTGACCCCGTCTGCTGGCCGTGGAGTGAACCAGCCCACGGGAGAGACATCGGCTGCGGGATTGTCAAGGACCATATCAAACGACCGAATGACCGCAGCGACGACCGTCCGGAGTTCGGCCCGCGCAAAATTTTGTCCAATACAGTTATGGGGTCCGTGGAAAAACGAGAGAAAGGAATAGTTGCTGCTCGCACCACCATGGTTATTGAAACGACCCGTGTCGGGATTGATCCATCGGTCCGCATTGAATCGATCGGCATCGGGACCCCAGAGTTCGGAGGACCGGTTGATGGCTCTTGGCACGATCAAAAACGGCGTCCCTTTGGGAATCGGATGGTTCATGACGGTGGTATCCCGAATGGCGATGCGGTTCCCAATCGGTAACGGGGGGAACAGCCGAATAGCCTCACTCACGACGGCATTCAGAAGAGGCAGCTGTTCGAGGATCGCCAGGTCAACCTCGTCTAACTCAACTTCCGGGAGGTTCGCCTGCAACTCCTGACGGAGGCGAGATTGCAGCTCAGAATCGGAGGCGAGGGCCAGCATGACCCACATCACCACCGAGGAGGTATTTTCATGCCTGTGGCACTCAATCAGTATATAATACGGGGAAATAAGAATGGAGGGAAATGCATACCCGGCCGCGAGGAAGGTCCGGACCTGTTCAATTAACTCCTGGAATGTATATTCGCCGGTATGGATCATATTCGCCAGCAGATTGCTTGGTATCCCATCCCCGAGGGCACTCGTCGCCTTTGCATCGGTCACCCATTGATGACAGAAGTCTCGGATGGAGTCGATATTCTGGCGGAATTGCCGCCATCGGGGCCATGGTAGCCATTGTAGGATGATCCGTGGAAGCAGGGTGTCGGCGAAGACACACAGCAGATGTCCTGCTCCGATCGCGAAGGCTTTCTCATAGCAATGGATGATCTCGCTGTCCGCGTCGCGCACGGAATGAAAAGACTGGCCAAAGCCGGCTGCTCCGATCATATCCATGCTGACCCGTGGTGCCCAGTAGACCATGTCTGTGGTCCCTGTATAGATCCCGGACCCATCATGGGTCAGGGTTCGTCTGATCTGCTGGGTCAGCGCGGTCGCCTCTTTCCACAAGACCGGATAGAGGGCACGGATCTTCGGCGGCGTGAAGCCAGCCAGAAGCTTTCGTTTCTGCTGGTAATGCACATCACCTTCGGCCGTAACCAGGCCATCGCCCACCACAGCGCGGAGGATCTTCCGCTCGCCTGGGAGCTTCTCGAAATCGTCTGCCCGGTGGACAAGAACATCGGCCAGGCTCTTGGGGGACGTGAGCAAGATCTTGGGCGCGCCAAACAGGCCGCGTAGACAGATCATACCGTCATTGGGTATTTGCAACAAGAGCTCCGCGTGCAATTGGCCAATGGGTTGAAGGAACTCGGAAAAGGCATGATTCCATAGCCAGTGGCCGCGCTGCACTCTATCAGCCACTCACCCTGGGAGATCTGGGTGGGAGTGCCTACCTGGGACTGAGGTAGAGTCCTCAACGGCGACACGCGATAGGGGTACAGGACGACCCTGTAGAAAGTCCATATGGCGCTCAGGACAATTCCTACCCAGAAGAAGGTGACAGTGATCATGGTGGAAAGACAGACACCCGATGGGAGGCCAATGGAGGATCTGGCCAGCCCTGAAAAGAAAGAGCTCAGCTATCAGGCACAGTGGGCCATTGACGGTGGATCATATTATTTTGTCACAATAAAGGACGTGCCCTAATGCAATTGTCCCACGCTATCTCTCACCGATTCTTTCTTCCCCCTTGCTTGCGACTTTCTCGCTGTGCATTTCTATTACATTGCATGTGAGAGAGCCAACATGCACATGCAGTCACAATGCAGGCCTGCTGCATGATGTGTTGTCCCCTCAAGGAACTCGAGACAGGTATGGATGAAAATCGTCAATGATAAAGAATGGGAGACCCCCAACAGCTGTGTAGTTCACTTCTGTTAAAATTACATTTTGACCTCCTCACCCGCATCATGGGCTCTCTTTCGTCCCCAACCGGCCTCACCCCCTATCAGGTGCTTTCCAAATATAAGAAATTCCCTAGTCCCGATGAGGAGTTCTGGTGGGATCATGCCGCGTCCACGTTGGCCGATCTTATCAAGTGGACCAAGGCCACCCCTGCCCAAGAATATGAGTTCCTGCAGTTTTTCTATGAGCATGTAATCCCCAACTTCTCGTGGTATCGACCCTATGATGTGCCCGGCCGGGCATGGAACACGGGGATTACCCCCAGTGGACTGCCCCTGGAATACAGCGTCAATTGGCGAAACATTGACGCAAATGCAATGGTCCGCGTTGGCGTTGAGCCAATCAGCCAGTTCGCGGGCACTGCTCGTGATCCATACAGTCACTACAAAATCTGGGACACGTTGAACCAGCTTTCGCAGGTCAAGGCACTCAAGTCCTTTGACCTTGAGCTATGGCGGCACTTCTCCAGCGCTCTGTGCACAAGTCGCGAAGAGGAGGCCTTGCTTGACCAGACGCGCACGCTGCCCGAGTCCTTCTCCATTGCGAAGATGCAACACTCCATGGGATTCGACTTTTGTGATGACGAGGTGGTCGTCAAGATCTACCTGATCCCCAATATGAAGGCACGCGCCTCAGGGACCCCCCTGGCGGAGCTCCTGACGGGGTCCATCCACGCCATCTATCGCGACACGATTGATCGCGAGACGCTGGCCACCGTGATCAACTATTTGGATAGCACCAGCAACTTCAACGATGCCACCTGGTTCTCATTCGACTGCATCCCGCGCAGCCAGTCGCGCATCAAGCTCTATGGCTCGGATTTCCGCACCACCTGGAGCCGGGCCGAGGACCTGTGGACCGTCGGCGGCCGCTACACGGACGCAGTCACGATGAAGGGTCTTGCCTATCTTAAGGAGCTCTGGGATCTGCTGCCCATTCAGGACTTCGAGACGCTGCCCGAGCAGGCTGTGCAGAATCCCCCCATGCTATGGGCTTACGAAATTCGCCCCGGTGACAAGATCCCATCGCCCCGGATCTACATCCCTGGTCACTGTCTCAACGATAAGAAGGTGGCTGATGGATTGTCAGCTTTCTTTAAACGGGTAGGATGGTCGGACCTGGGCGACCAGTATACAGATCGCTTGTTCTCAATGTTGTAGGTGCTTCTCTTCCCCCGGTGACTAGACGGCTGTGCTAAATAATTCGCAGCCCCAAGCAGGACCTCAAGGACTCGACTGCTTTGCATACATGGATTGCCTTTTCTTACACCGAAAAGAGCGGCGTGTATATGAACTGCTACTATCTTGCCAGTTCCTCGTTTCCCTTTAAACTGTAGTTACGGATTTTAGCCTAGACGAGATGAATGCGATGATGTCAAATGGAAAGTCAAGTAGAGTATAAGAGCCCGGCACCACGCTACATATGAAAGCTTTCTCTCACTTCACTCGTTTGTCCACACGCATAGGTAGTCCTCCAGCTGGTGTCGGTCCGATGCCCGAGCCGGTCGTGTAGGCGTATCCGCCGTAGATATCTGGGCCCCTAGCAGCTTTTTGCGCGTACTTTGGCTGAAAATCGAACTCCGTTAAAGTCAACAGCAACATGACTTTCATTTGGATCATAGCCAGCTCCTGTCCCACGCAGTATCCGTTCCCCTTTTCGAATGGGCGCCAGGCGTCGGCGGGGATGGGAATGACGGCACCGGGCAGAAACCGATATGGATTGAAAGCGTCGGGGTCGGGGAAGAGGTCGGGGCGGCGATGGAGGGAGTTGTGCGAGATAGCGACCTACTCCGGTCAAGATCGAACAGAGAGAGCATGAGAGGTAATGAGACTTACGATATGATTCCGAATATCATATGTCCTGCCCTCATATTCCATCGTCTCGCTAGGAATCATTATTAGCCTCGTAGAGCTCAACGGACCTGAAACGAACTACCTAGGACACTTGCGCAGAACAGGGCCCATCGGAAAGAGCCTGAGCGTCTCCTTCAACACTGCGTGGGTTAGCTTTAAGTCGTTCAACAGGCGAGGGCGACTCTGTAATGCAAGGAGGATGGACTGTCGGTTTAATCCGCACACCTGCCCGTGCTCCCTACGAAGGTCGTCCAGTATGTCTGGATGCTGGTGGAGGAGCAGAAAGGCATACTACCGTGCCCGAAACGATCAGCATTCTTCCTCACAGGATCAGACCAGGACATCTTACACTGATCACGGATGCACCACTCGTGGCTCCGATCAGGAAGGCTGCACCACTACGTTCGTTAGCCCACGTCGCCGATTCAAGAGAGAGGCCTTACGTAGAGGTCAGTTCTTCTAGATACTCCGTGGAAAGGAGTTCTTCGGAGACTCGAGGAAACTCGGGGAACCCGTTCTTCCGATAGACAGCAAAGGAGGATACTAATAACGAGGGAACCCCGGCTCCATGGTCTTCATCCTTGTCGAACGCATGCTGGACTTTCTCCCGAATCATCGCATGGAAAGTTCGGGCATGTCTCTTCCACGACGGCAACACAAATGGCTTCCGCAGAGGGTTCCTCGCTGCTACTACCGGTGTGGTAGCAGCTCGGAAGGCCGACGTCCATTGGCTTTTCGGGGCGAAACAGTCCAGCTCCATACCAAAATACGCCCGTCCAGTCATGGCGAGGATGGCATCAGTGGCTACGCGCTCCATGCAAAAGATCTGGTCCCGGTCGGACCAGTCGTTCAGTTGATCCAACATAGCTTGCAGGTCCTCAGCCATCTGTGGCACCATCCGGACGAAGTGCGCAGCCGTAAAGGAGACGCCGACCACAGGATGCCATTTGGTCCATGCCCGATCCGCTACGGTGCGAAACCATCGGGTTGGAATGGCCGGATACAGCGTCTCAAAGACACCCGGATACCGCAGGGACCGATCTTCCTGCGTAACCTTTCTCGCGAGGCCGGGGTCGCTGATAAACACGATAGGATTGAAGAGAGGATACAAGTCGAGAAAGAAAACTGCCGGTAGGTCAAATTTGCGACGAACCAGATCCACCACTAACGGAAGAAAGATATCTCTGGGTAAGGTCCGGAGCTCACGCAAGAGGATGGGAAAGTGGCCCAGAAACGCATGGTGGGGTGGTTTAGGCTGTCAACAACAGATGTATCTTGTCAGTCTTGGGACCCGGGAGAAAGGGGGGGGGCACAAATGGAGACAATACCAGGTCGCGAAACTGCCTCCGGATAGAACCAATTCGAATGCAGATATAGACCACTAGAAGAGCCACTGGGATGGCCAGGATCTGGCCAAGAGTCATGATGGTCAGGTTGAGGGAAAGGTGGGTGAATGGGGCTTTCATGGTCTTTGGGCATTTTTCTCTCTCATAGATAGCCATCGATTTATCTGTCGAATTTTTCACCGCATTGTTCACGGCGCTCTCTGCCAGGTGCTATAGCCTCCCTCAATCCTCTATCAGTCGTCTGTTTCCTGCCGAATAGTGCTTGCATCCCTTGCTTCTTGCAGATCGACACATCGAAGACTTCCAGCCCAGCCCAGCCCAACATGAGCCTTGGCGCAGTGGTCTCTGAGACTAATATTTATACCCATTAGTCACATAGATCAATGACGAAGAACGTGCGATACCCCAAACTCTATCAACTATGACATCCTTTATAGCAATATGGACGGGTCAGGTCCTGCCCCGTTTCTTTCAGTCCCTAGTGGTGGGAGTAGTCCTTGTGGCCGGCCTGTGCTATTTCTTTCTTCGTCAAACACCTGGTCTTCCTCTTCCTCCAGGCCCGAAGCCATTGCCTTTGATCGGAAATCTTCACCAGCTGCCCAAAAAGATCAATGGCAGCGACATCAAGAATGGCATGAGAAGTACGGACCGATTATTACTGTGCGAATGGGGATGAGCACGATGATTATGATCAGTGACTACGCCATTGCCAACGAGCTACTAGAAAGGAGAGCGGCCATCTACAGCTCTCGACCAAAGATGCTTTTTTTGAACAAATATCTCACGAATAGCCTGCAACCGATCATGCAGCCCTTTGGCCCGCGGTGGAAGCGTCTCCATCGGCTTCATATGATGCTCCTGAATCCGACTACTACGCGCGCCTATCACCATCTACAAGACCTGGAGAGTCGCCAATTCATGAAGGAGTTGCTCTCCACCCCATCCGATAGCCACACGTCTCGATTTACGAGATATACGCTCAGCTTCATGATGGGACTGGTGTTTGGGGAGCGGGCCCCTCGGGGAGATGAGACGGAGCCAAATTTGATGCGTGATTGTCTGATGAGACGATTGACGGGCTTCCACTGGACATACTTTCTCGCGGACCTGCTTCCCCCACTGGACTGGCTGCCCAAGTACATAGCCCCCTGGGCCCGTGCCGGGAAGAGGATGCGCGACTATGAGATGGGCATCTACGAAAGGAACATCGAGGCAGCACTGGCGAGACCGCACTGGAGCTGGGCCAAAGAGCTGTCACACCGGGGGAAGGGGGAGAAGCTCAGCTCGGAGCAGATCTGCTATGTGATCAGCGAGCTCTTCATGGCCGGCACCAGCGGCACCATCGTTGGATGGAACATCTTCGTCGCTGTGGCGCTGTTGAATCCGGACTGTATCCAGCGCGTCCAACAAGAACTGGATGCGGTGGTGGGCCTGAGGATGCCGACGGTGCAAGACATCCCCCAGCTGCCTTATCTCACAGCTTTCCTTCACGAACTGCTTCGCTTTCGCCCCATTCTGCCGACCGGATTTCCACATGCCGCCACGCAGGACGACGAGTACAAAGGGTTCCGCGTGCCTCGAGCAGCCCAGATTGTCACCAACACCTGGCTGATGGACAGTGATGAGTCCCTCTATCCAGATGCCACCAGCTTTCGCCCTGAACGCTGGCTGGAGAACCCTGGATTACCTATGACCGCTTTTGGATTTGGACGACGCAAGTGCCCTGGCCGGGATGTCGCGCGTAGCTCTCTGCTTCTGGCCCTCGGCCGGTGCCTCTGGGGCTTTCGCATTGAGTTCGACCACGACGATCCGGCGTCTCTAGAGCAGTCCAGCATTGTCATGGCGCGGGGCAAGAGTCTTTTCGAAGAGCCTGAGTCGGTGAAGGCCCGCTTTCTGGTGCGGAGTCCCAAGCACGAAGCCGTCATCACGCATGACTGGGAAAACGCTAATACCGACTTGGGAGCCATCCTCAAAGCCACCCGCGACGAGATCCCTATTCTTCAATCCAAAGGGGGGCTGGAGGCCTGAGCACTTAAACGCTACCCTGCCATGCCAGCTCGGGCGAGAAGGGACACTAATGCGCATGTACTTGGTTGCTTTTTTTTGCTAGTAATACTAATACCAATAATTAATATTAATCAATTACTAGTATGTAGCTCACACCTTTTTATGTGTTTAATTGGTTGTATGCATTTGAAAGAATATCATATTTCTTACTCGTGGCCTGCATACATTAGCGTCTCTTCTCGCCCGAGCTGGCATGGCAGGGTACATAGGCGATCTGTAGCTGCACGGTGTGCTGTTCATTCGGGGTGGCTGTGGGTCGAGATGCAGCGCTATGTACGTGTGGAATAGTAAACAAAGTCCCAGTTGGCATTCGATACATCATATCAGCCCGGAGCCAGGCATTCGATACTAGTCGGCTCCTTTCGTGAATTACCATTTATTACAGATCTTCGCTACGCGAGGGTCCGCCACCCAAACGATAATGGCCCCCCAAATGATAATTTCTACCATTGTGTGAGGGACAGCTACAGAGGCAAGCAACTGATTCTCGTAAGGCAGTTGTAGGAGGGAGGAAGCCCTCAGTAATGTCGGTGTAGATATCATGTGATCCCTAATAAAACTACGGTGTACTCCCTTTATGAGACCAGTAGAGTCGGATCCGTATGCCCTAACATAGATAAAGGTCGTGCTTTTTATTTCCTCAACGCAATCAATAACGATTCTGTACACACGCCCTGGTTCCCATTCAAACATGACCGGGCTCACTTCAGAGGCTTTCAGACGGACCGAGGGGCCATTGCCCCTGCGGATCCAGAAATTCACAGAGAAAGTGGCATCCCAACCGGGGCCCGATGAGGTCTTAGTGCAGATCCACGCCGTCGCGCTCAACTCCCGTGATGTAGCGATGCTCCGGGGCACATACCAGGCGCCGAGCAAGCCAGGAGGCATCATCGCCTCGGATTGTGCCGCCGAGGTGCTCGCCGTCGGATCCGCTGTGCACGACTTTGTGGTTGGTGATCGGGTCTCTCCGACCTTTTTTACGAACCTGACCACCGGAGACGAAAATGAACCGCCCAAGGCGCTCGGCGGGGACCAAGACGGGGTGTTGCGTCGGTATGCCCTGTTCCCCAGCACCCATTTGATTCATTTACCCCCCCACCTGAGCTGGGAAGAGGTTAGTCTCTGGCCTTTCTTCCCTGAATGAGCATCAATCCTGATATAGGCAGGCCGCCACCATCCCCTGCGCTGGAACCACCGCTTGGACGGCACTTCGCATGCCACAGGAGCCCACCGGCCGACCTCGAGCAGCGCTCCTCCAAGGTCAGTATTAGGCTCTAGACTTACTGGACTATCTAACGTATATATATGATCATGGATAGGCACCGGAGGAGTCAGCCTCTTCGCCCTGTTACTCTGCCTGCATAATGGAATTCACCCCATCATCACGTCGGCTTCTCCTCACAAACTCCAGACTGTCCGTGAACTGGCTCCCCCGGGAGCCATCCGCACCATTGACTCATCGGCCATCACCGAATTGGACGTGGAGGTGAAGAAGCTGAGTGACGGCGTTGGGGTGGACATCGTACTCGACATGGGTGGCCCAGCTACCGTGGCTCTCAGCCTCGGTGCGCTGAGAAACCGGGGAGGCGTTGTATCCTTGGTGGGCTTTTTGGCTCCTTTTTCCTTCGATGCGGTGCCCAATGTTATTCTTCCTCTATTGAGCAAGGCGGCGACACTCCGGTAAGGAGGCTCCTATTCTTGACGGATCGTGACTCACGCTAGCAATGTAGGACAATCGCAGTAGGCACGAAACAAGACCATCAGCAACTCATCGATTTTATCAGTAAGAAGAATATATCTTTGGAACCTCTGGTACACAAGGTCTTTTCATTTGCACAGACCGAGGAGGCACTGGAATACCTGTCTGCCGGATCTCACTGGGGAAAGATTGTAATTCGGCTATAGAGTTCCAGCACATTAACAGGCCGCTTTTATTGTTAATCTTCTTCATTTTATCGAACTTAGTTGGCACTCTGGTAGGCCTGTCACTACTAGAAAATTGGAGCTTGATTCTTGAGGCATGAACCATACATATAGGGGGTTACTCGACAAACCCCCCTTTGTCTTGCTACAACTGTCAGAACTGAGGACCTCGGGACCTTGAGATATAGCTTAGTCAGGATTCCACATAATTTGCCAGAAATAGGGATCTAAAAATACAGAGATATTGATATTTTCCTGAGGCATCAAGATAGACCAGAAGCCTTGATTTCTGTCAAACCCCCCCCCCCCCCCTTCCCCCCCAAAAACCTTTAGCCAAAGCCCACGATTTCATAGAAAACTAGTCTTAGCGTTTATAAAACCGCTTAGTTATTAATGCTATAATTGCTGTATCTTAGCTTCCATCGGTCGCATTTAGCTCAAAATTTATATATATGAAAGTGAGAAATTAAGAAAGGGGATAAAATTATCATTTTGAATAGGGAGATATATATTTACTATATACGATAGAACGAGGGAGCATTCCAAGGTTGGTTGGGGACTTTGTCGTATGGGAAGGTGATCCCCTCAGAGGAGAGGGTTCTGTTATTGCTTCTTTCCAAGACAGGAAGATTGCCGATTTCTGGCCTGATACCATTGATGCTATTTTGTGACCATAGGCCATTGGATATAGCATCTTTAAGTCTTCGGCATCTCCTTTCTTCTGGTCTTTGGACCGTGCGGCTGATATCCGGGGATCTGTGCGCGTGGTGCAAAGCTTAATTCTGGTTTGATTTCATTTTGGTATTGTTTTTGACTTGATTTTCAATTTGATAATGCTCAGGATATAGTTCTTCCGCTGCTTCACTGATGAAATATGGACTGCGTGTTGAAGAATAATTTGATTTCCCATGTGCACGCAGAGTCCACGATTCGAGATGTAGTTTCGCTCCACCAGTATGATGACTGCATGAAGTGTCGATTCAGCTGCTCCACTGTCGTCCCACTGGACAAACTTGATAGGTTGTCGGAGGTCATTTGGGGGGCAGATCTTGCCAATATCCAATAAGCGAACAGCAGCGATATCCTACTACGGGCTAGCGCGCGAGCAACGCGGCACAGGGTCTTAGCTCATAGGGCCACGGTCAGCCCTGTAAAGGAGCGAAAATATTGGCCGTATGAAAGGAATTTAGGTTATGTAGCCCCTTGAGTTTTAAAAAGCTTGATTGTTTCCCCTTTTGACACTCCTGTTGGTCTTTCTTTCCATCAACGTTATATGCGCGATGGCCACCAACCGCACTCTTTCGCTGTGTGCCGATCCGAAACATGTGTTCCAGTCCTTCGATAATCTCGGCAACTGTTACAACGCAGCTGGGGACACGTTAGGTTCTAAATTCACTAATGTTGTGGAAACATGTTTGAACGATTACTGCAAGAGCCCATACCCTAATCTAGGTGGCTGTGGGAATTGGCATGGCACGGCATCCCTCCCATTCGTGGTCAACACCACGAAGGGCAACCAGTACTTCTGGAACAATGCTACCTGCGCCGGGGTCAGTGATAAGGTAAATGCGGATATTGGAGGACCTGGCGTGCGTGATTCCAACTCTATTCGCACAAAGCATCCATGTTAAATTTACACCAACAGGTCTTCGTGTCCTACTTGCTGCAACTAGGAATAATCTTTTATTTTTGGTTCCTACTCCGCTCATTTCGCCTCTTCCCACTCGTAACCTCCTTCTGCGCCAGAAGAAAGCAACCTTGCGACACAACGCCTCCCACAAACCAAACCAATGGAAACATCATCCCCAAAATCCGGCATTTCTTCAACCAGCACGACCGCATCACGAGGGTAATCCTCGTCGAATTTCAAGAAGCCCAATGCTTCTTCATGATCGCCTCACAAGCCGCAATTCTACTCGCCAAGAAGTCAACTACTATCTTCCAATCCAATACCATGCCCTCCCTCTGGGCAAACAACGGCGTTGCGGGAGTAGTCTCCAGCGCCGGCGTATTGCCCATTGTCATGGGGATGTGGAGTCTCCAGAAGATGCACCTGACAGAGGCCTGGATTTTCCTTCTGTCCGTCACAACCATTATCGTGTCTGAGTTCGCGTTGTACTGGACGCATGAAACTCCATCAGTTGGTCAAATTAGTCCATTTGACTATAATGGATGGCCAGAAAGTTGTGGTGGGTATGCGCCGCCATTGATTTACTGTACGGATCCGAACGTGGAATCAACCCTAAGGCTTCCGCTCCTCTTATTCTGGGAGGTGCTCAATCCTTATTGTTTGATTGTGTTTGGACTAGATGTCATCATGTGGTTTTGGCCATATGCAGTTAGAATGGTGAATGTTGAGGACGTTTATCAGAGGACTTGCGCTCGTCTGGGTCTCCGCAATTTCCCATCCGACGTTCGACGACTGCTCGCTTCAACTTGGGGCCAATGGTTCAAGAAGTTACCTAGTTTGCTCACGCTCTGCGTTGAGTCGCTCTTTCTCGCAGCTGTATTTTTGGAATGTATGTGTTTTGCCGAGTTCGGGCACCTCGGGGTAATCGACTTTTCGGGTTGGGGGTTTGGCCAGATTGTTGCGCTGGCTATCTGGTTCCCTGTGGCCAGCAAATATGCCTACCTGATTATATGTGAGTCATACACTGTGCCTGATATTCAGGTAGCAATCCCTGACTGTTTTGATAGTTGGCACTGAGTCTTACTCGGAAGCTCGCATGCCTGAGTCTGATAACACAGGGAATGATAAAGGTACAACTAACAAAGACGCCGATGATGTTGAATTGGCGGCTCTGCAGTCCTCCGACGTTATTGAACACAAGGCCCAGGATGGACACGAAGCCGGTCGACGATGAAGCAGACCGGGAAGCTGGTTTGGATCCTATTTTGGCGAATGTCATATGGGATGCGACTAGAAAGAACTATGAACCTCATAAGAGATTTGGATTAAATAATGAATTAATACGAGGTTTATGAAGCAACATGGAAAACAATTAATTGATCTTCCAATAGCATAATTAATTACAACCGCAACCAACTATTCCTATTCCCATGTCTTCAGTATTACCGTTAATATGACTACGTTTTCAAGGACAGAGGCTGCCAAGTTGAATCTTCTTGTGTGACATTTAGCAAATTACGTACTGGAAGCCTAGCAAAAGAGGTCATCACAATAATTATCAAGAGCAACGCCGAGACTGTGCAAGACAAACCTCACAAAGCCTGCTCGCTGTTTGAACCGTCGATAAACAAGTATATTTCAATCCCCAAAGTATTCCTTGGTCTGTCTCCATAGCTTTAGCATAGTTATCATCCATTTTTCGGGCTTTCGAGTTCGGCGAAGTAGGCTGGTTGAGAAAAGTAGGCCTCTATCATCTTCACAAGATAGCCTGGATTAGAGTACCAAAGCATGTCTTTTAGAATTTTTGTGATGACTTCTCTCTCTTCGGAAGTGGGGTCAGCACCACGGTTTTCCGAACAACATCTGCAATCTATAGTACAATGTCCGATACCCTTTATCCTCTGGCTCGTCAAATGGCGGCTTTGGCAGCATCCACAGCTCCGACTGCAGCAGCCACCTCTTTCTGCACAGTCCTTGACTAGCTCTGGGCGACAATACCACGTCAGGTTCTCTCTAATGGAGTCGTACATCTGCTTGAGAGGCTTGTGTGGAAGAAATGCTTCGTTTCTGTAAAGTTCATGCTGCTTCAATAATATCTCTTTTTGGAGGCTCTGTAGCTCTTCCTCCCATTGTTGCACCTTCAACTTATCCTCTGGAGTGGATACCGGCTGGTCAAGCTTTTTCTCGACGCTGTCGTGGCGCTGGACGAGTCCCCGCAGAGCCATCTCGGCGAGTATGACTCGATCAAATATCGCGGACTCATATTCAACGCCTTGATATACAATTCTGTGATTGCTTCCATGTTTGGAGTAATGTTTGACGGGCTCGAAATTCTCCTGATCCAAAATTCTCGGAGCTTGCTTTTTGGTCTTCCGAGTAAATGTTAGCAAAGATAGCAAACGCAAGAGTAGTGACTACTCACTTTCCCAAAGATGAAAGCCATTTTGATTTGAGGGTGTAATGTAGGAAGAGTTCATGAATCGTGTTAAACAAAATATCAATTGAAGAGAGCCCTGGAGTCCGTTACTCTTCGGGCGTCGGTCAACTCAACACTTGAACCGTGGTGCCTTTACCGCTACTACAACAAAATCATCATTAGGGTTCAGAAGAAAAGGTTCTTAATTTTATCTCTCAGCTAAGACTCCCGTTTAATTCGTTGAGCATATATCCGACCTAGAGTGATATGAGAGATGTTATATCATGAAGCTTCTTACAAGTCCTTTTAGATATCCCTTATAGTTGACAACACAAGGTGGCTATTCAATCAAATTCCTAGTCTACATAGATATATACATGTACCTAGGTAACCCGGACGTGATGCGATGTGATGCAATCAGCAGCCCTGGAGGGGAGGTACACCTGAGGTCTTTCCCTGCAAAAGTCCACTTGAGCAACTTTGTTTTTCGCAAAGCGTCAACTCAGCCTTCAAGTCGGTCTCGCGCAGACCCACGGTTTGTAAGCCCTTTCACTTAGTTCCTTCGTTTCAGGGCACTCGTTACACGTCATACCCACCTGAAGTACACCAGGATGCCTCGCAATCCTGGTTGCAAATGGCTCGAGTATTCGTCGCCTTGTCCGACAAACACAGATTGCCTTGACGAGGCGGTTTTGTTGCAGAAATTCCTGAACAATGAGGTTTGTTTGGGCGCAAGGCATATCTCATGACTCGCATCGCCGATGAACCCCTGTATTATGCATCTGTGTGGGAACGGATACCCTTTCGCTCCGGAACACGTGGCTCGAAACCCTGTGTCTTGCATATGCAAAACAGCTCAGAGCGCCATTGAGAGGCCCAAGCTTCCAGGGTCTTGAGGCTTGTTCAAATAGGCGCATTGGTGAATTCACCCTTGTCTTCCAACACCAAACGTGAAATTGTAAGTATCGACGTATGTGCTTTCAGGTGGGGAGAAAATATAAATCAACGGAATTTCCATTGAATCCCAACCCACTTTTGTGTGACATTATTCGTTATTTTCATTATGTCCTCAACAATAACTCAAACAATAACGCAACGAGAACCCGTCTCCACCGAGGTGGAAAATGATGATTTTTTGAAGAACAAAATCATTGAGCACTTCAGCCAACTCACTGTCGATTCCGACTTCCAGAAAGCATCCGCGACCTATAGTAAGGTTAAAGAGCAGCAGGAGCAAATCCGGATTCGAGATGAAAAACTGGTCAAATTGCAGAAGGATATCAAACCTCAGGAAGAGAATGAAGTGCTTGCGTTCAGCAAATTGTCTGCAGTGAATCAACCCCTGACCACCCAAAAGGAAAATACAGAAAGACAGAATGCTTCTCTTCGAAAAGAGGTTACAGAAAGAGATAAGTCTCTGACTGAGATCTCTCGAAGGATTCAAGAACTTCAGAGCCAGAGATCTCAGGATGAAAGAAAGATGAGCTCATTAGTTGCACAACACAATCTTGACATTGGCTCTCTTCAGAGAAAATTTAAAGAAAGAGATGGAGCAATCAACAAGATGAGAGCTACTCATGCAAACCTTACAAGCCTCCTTGCCGTCGAACAGACGAAAAGTGATTGCCTCGAAAAAGAGAAAAAGTCGCTTGATGAAACGATGCGAAAGGCACGCAGTCGACTTGAAAAGCTTGATGTCTTTATCCTTACATAGTACCAAGTTGATGAACAGTCAATGTTAGTGCTTTTACCTGAGTATTTCGTTGCAGCTTATTGACTCAAAGTTTCAGAATTGATGGTTTTGCGGGCCTCTGAGACTATGCTACGAATGAAATTTGGACCGTCTTGCGGCACGATTTGAACGGCGAGAATCTCAGAGTATGTTTGTTTCAACATAATCTTCTCCTCGTATGTGGAGCTGAAACTTCGACTAACTTTCCTGGAAGAATGATAGACCCTGGAGGAAGTTCAGACTGGATGCTGATGATATTGTCCGAGATGGAGCTACACAAGGACAGTCTATCCCCCTGTGTTGTGTGCTTCGAATTCCGATGCCGCTAAGGGAATGCGTCTGGCTGTGATTTTGGGCATTCTATCTAGGGGAATTGATAAGGAGATTTTTCAACCAAGTTACTTTCCGTCCGAGACCGGTCATTTCAGGATGAGCTTGAACAAGCTTGCGAAAAGTGATCACGAAAAGGAACACTTTTATCGCTCCGTCCTGCTTTCTATTGGTCGCAATCTGCAGGAAGCTGAACTTCAGTCTAGAGCCAAGTCTGTTGTTCAAAAAGTGTCCCACAATCTCGATGAGCTTCTCTCAACTGCCTAGTATGGTGACCTTAAAGAGAAAATAAAAAATGTTGTTGATAAAGCCATCGAGGTCTGGCGTCCTATGCTGCACGCTACGAAAAGATATGAGACAGAATTTGATCCTGTGGATTGGGCCCACGATGAGGATTATCTATTCCAGTTCCCCGTGGGTGGTGAGGATCCAATCGGGGCTGATCATTCAGATGACCACCTTCTTGTGATTTTCCCTTTATTATGTTCCTTTGAACGGGATACCTTTATCTTAACTTCTGTCGTCCCGCTCATGAGCTCACAGAGGTTATGTGTTGCTGCCAAGAAAGAGCTGAGGGAAGAAGTTCGAGGGCAATCTAGCCCCACGACTAAACAACCCAGTTGTAAAGGGCAGAACTCTGTTGCCAAAGCTCAATCACAGTCAAATTGGAGCAATGTTTTAGGGGGGCACTCCGGAGGCTCAGGCAATTGAGGACACATGAGCCACGCGCTCGAGCCACAATGGCGTTTCAGCCATCTCCGGGGACATTTCATGAATGAAGGAAGCCATCAATTATTTGAATTTGCTTGATTTACTGACGTATGTTTTGCTTGTGTTTTGTATCACAATCTCATCCACTATCCAGGTATCAAGATCAGATTGTTAATATATTAATGGAAACATGGTATTACTGTAAATCACAATTCTCTTTGGAAGATCTCCAATTTGATCGGCCATTGACAACAAGACTGCCGTTCAACTATCAAGCGAATGAGGTGGTCTTGTCCAAGCTAGCAAAGCCGCCACAGAGGAAATGTGGGGTTTGACTGATGAGAGGTTTCAGGTCAATGGCATGTTGGGGGAGCAGATGATCCTCGCTCTGGGCATCGAAACAGGAAGACTACGTTTTGAGACTCTCCTGAAGGACCCGGCCAAATTAATCATCACTTGGGCGTGCAGCATCGCCCATAGTCAAACACCCGTAGGTTGGAAAGGCTGCGTGATTGTTCGGGGCTTATTTGACAACTTGAATTAGGTCTAGGTGCCAAAGGACGAAGTCGCTACTGTCTCTTTGTCAAGACCAAGAAAGGGGGTAAATGTAGGACGAAATTAATTTTAATAGCAGTTGTAACATGGTTAGGTTTAGGATCCGCCTCCTATGTTTGGTGGCCTTTGTGGTCCATTCCAATTGTTGAAGCTTCATCATCTGATACCATTCCTTAGGATGGTTCTTCTTGGCATCCTCAATCGAGGGTGCTTCTGGTTCATCAGGAACCGCATGTTGATCCTGTATCTCTGCGTTGCATATTTGCCAAACGCTATATTGCTCGGCGATGCCAGGGATGGTTGAGATCCAGGATTCTCAGTTTGATGAGTCGCTCAGAATAACGCGAGAGGACTGTGTCGTGAAGAAAGTGAGGTCTCCCATAGTGAAGAAGGCAGACTGATTTTCGATTGTTCAGGGGGCTCGACGGCAGGCGGGAATCTCAATGATCTTTCGGTGTTTGGCATCGATATCAGGGTAGCAAATGGGCTAATGAAACGATCTCGGGCTCATAACTAACAGGAATCAGGTCAGGTGATCTTATGGGATCCTCAGACATATATGAAGCTTTCTGATTTCCCTATACCCCGGCATTCTGGTAATTTATGAGGGGTTTCACTGACTAATCTAATAAACATATAAAACATATCAAACCGCACAAATATGGTTCTCAACCTCATTTCTGACATTAATCCCTAAAATTCTAAGCAGGATTCGACGACCCGATTATACATACATGATCGACGCATTCTGGTTGAGATTCCCACTTCAGTGTGTCATAACACCCCGCCCTTAGACCGCAAAGTCAGAAAGCTTTAGCGAGGCTTAAGTCTGGTGAGGGTATACGTGATCCTAACATTCCAAGAAAGCTGAGAGGATCGGTACATATATAGATACTGCTCCAATATAGACATCGAGATTAGATACACTCAATCGACATAACTTTGTATACCTCTAGGAGACCAGGCTCTGTCACCAACTTATAATAGAGACCTTAGAGACTAACTCCCTTAGCCACTGCCAGGGCAAGTGATCTCCTCATGATAGAGGTTTCCACAGATGGCTCCATCACCACCACCATCGCCGACGCACTGTTAGACTTGTTAGCTTCTGGAGGTTATAATAGCCACATTGTCTAAATGACAATTGTGGAATGCCTAATCAGGTATTCTTACACTACCCTTTGCGCAAGATCTAAAGACGTCTGTTAGTGAGGATACACAGTAGAGATTAATAAGAGAAATCTTACTGGTTGATTCCAGCAACCTTGCATGAGCTACCGTTGCATTCCTAGACATCGTTCATGGTAATTAGAATAGAGTATGAAAATCTCATTTTAGACATGAACATACACCGCAAGCACTCCAGCCGTTAGGACAATACCATTGAGTCGAAGCGGTACTGTCCTTCTCGGGCGCAGGAGCAGCAAGACCAAGGCTAGCGCCGACGGCCACAAGAGCAAGCATAAGGTTGGAGAGCTGCATGATGAATGTGGGAGATCGTTGGTTGTTGGAAGCTTTGTAGACTTTATGGATAGAATTATTGGACTAATGAGAATGATTAAGGAAGGATTGCTGGAGCGAGAGCACCTCCTTTATAGTCGAGATTTGGAGGGGATCCTCGCTAAGGCTACAGTCCCTTATATAGGTAGGACGCCTTATCACCTAGTCGAAAAAAGCCTTACTGCCAATCTTTCCCATTCACAGTCCCATTCCTCCCATTCCACAGGGCACTAGATGTGGGTACAGCGTATATGTGAAATTCTCGCATAGAATAATACAGTATCTTGTTTGGCTTGAAGCCTAGCTCATGCATGAATAGAGTTTCATGTAGATCTTTCCTTTTTGCTTTTACGCTCAAGTCCACCAGGGGGCCGAGAAGTGGGTTTTATGTTAGTATTATGTTCCAAGGGTCTAGGCGCCCCCATCCCCTCAAACATAAACAAACCCAACAGCTACTATTTAGATCTTAGTTGAGATTGGGTATCTCGTAGACTACACGAGATGGGAGACTTTTTTGAATAATGGAAATAGCTCTCAAAATTACGAAGCACACTCACGCAGTGTAGTCGCCCCTATGCAGCGTACATGCCCTAGACCGGGTGGCTAAATCCAAAAAAATGGGCCCAAGGCATACCGTGAGTCGAGAGGCACTAAGTATGTTGGGGCTAGATGCTAGCTAATGAGACCTCTTAAAGCTGCCTAGATTCACGTTGGATCGGCAGGGAAAAAGATTTGTGCTGGGGCTACTAACTATGGGGAGAGAAAGGAAGAACAATCATGATCTAGTCAATCTATCTAAAGTAGGGGATTTATACCCTGCCAAACAAAGGCTGTCATCTAACAAAGACAGGCTCAGTCTGCAAACATATGGAGGCATCTACGAGATGACTAGACAAAGGCATCAATGGGATGACCGGCATTGTCTAAGAATTTGAAAAGTGGGTTCTACGCTTACGTTGATCCATTTTTGGCCCTCTGTGGGTGCGGCGTATATGTGGAGAGGAAAGGATTCTTGATGCATCTTCAACTCTCTGCCCAGGTGGCATTTGCTACGTAATACGACACCTTCATTTGTTTATTTCCTCTGATTAACACAAATCTTTTCCCATTTGTGTAATATTGATTACGCAAACAGGCTTAAAGCCTCGCGGCCCCGCTGCCTCCCACGAAACACAACTCGGCATCCGAGTTTCCATGCCTGTTGCACGGCTGCCTCATTGAAGATTCATACAGGCTACAGGTTGAACCTTTGAATCTGCTGAACTGCTACACTGCGGCACTGGCTCCTAGTCCACTTCTACCTACAACACTCCCAATCAGCCAGCAGCCTTTACAACGCCGAGCACCGAGCAGATCATCTCGCATGTTTATGCACCTATGGTCTGTTTGTCCAGTGTTTAGAGAATGACTAAAAAAGAACTTGCCTTCTCATTTCTATCGACAGCGACAGCGGCTACATGGATGAAAGATGTCATGAATTGGCTACTCCGATCGGCCATAGATTATATCCCATTACACGGAGGTGATACAGAACAACCAAAAACACCTTGGATAATATCTCCATATGACCCCAACACCAAACACAACATTGCCCATCACTTGCGTTCGAAGTCGGAGTATCCGAGTCATCTCATCACCTCCACATGGATGCTAGGTGGCGGTGGAATGAATCTGGACACAAGACAAAGCTAGTTCTGCTCATCAGGGTTATGAGAGATTCTTATGTCGTCAACATTGAACTCTGGACCGAGGAACTTCGAACTCCTGCTACCCCGGAGTCACACGAGGCGCCACAGTAATGGTCCTTGCAACTGATGCACCTTCAGGAGTCACCCTCCCAAATTGTGATTCTGACGCTTTCGCTCACCCAGTTGATGACTGTGAACTCTGGAATCGCGTCTGGGAAATTTCAAATTCACAACTTGCATATGATGCGCCAAAATCAGCAACCACCCTCCACGCCAGACATCAATCTAACAAAGCACGTGTTAGAAAGAATTGCACACATTCGCCGTGATCATCCAGATAGTTGGCTACCAGGGATTGCGCCAGTGCGAGAGCTTGAATGTAGGCATCGGTTAAAGGGTAAAACCGCATCTGCCAATTTCTGGAAAAGCAAGCGTTATCATTTTCGATATCCTACAAAAGCCACTAAATACAAGTGAAGAACATTTTAACATCAACAACAAAAACATGAGCGGGTACTGCAATACCGCCGACCATTTTTCATGACAGCATTGTTTTCACGATACTTCTTAAGAGCTCGGACCTAAGAAGGGAGAAAAGCGGGGGAGATGGGAGAGAGTGATGGCTCGGCGTGGTCGATTTGATTGCTTCTTCCGACAACACCCCGGCCCCTGGTTATGTACGCACCCGCCACCATTGGCTAGCCCAAATGGATTTACCATGTAGAATCAGCTATTATAAATAAACTGGCTTTTCCCAACTTGGTCTCCACTTTCACTATTAGCGGGCGTACGCCCTGCTATCGCAAAGGTGGTAAAGACGACTGTAGCGCAGATAGCGAATAACTTCATGTTGAGGGATGTTTGCTTTCATAGCGAGAAGTACATGAAATATTAAAAGATGAGTTTCGGGAAGTTCGAAGAGTATAATTGAGTGTATCTCACGAGCGATATGGTACATTATTGTATACAACAACGCCTTCCGGCTTCATACTTCGGATGATTTTCCTTAGGGCTCCGGAATGGCCCAGGGGCTCGCCCAGGCGACTCCAAATGATGACTAAGCGGGTTGGAGGCTCCGAGCGAGGCGGGGAGGGAGAATAAAAAAAAGCGATAACATTCCCCACAGTATATCATTTCACGAATTGACGACTTGTTTTGTGCTTTTCATGACATCTGATCTAGCATGACCATCCGAAATCCCCTTCCGCTCTCCGATGAGTGGAAAGATCCCGACGAATATGTCCAGGCTCTCCTCTCTTTCGCAACCGAGTCGGTCATGTTCATGAACCTTTGCGGTGGCGTGCATATCCTCGATTTCCTGACGCGCGATCCCGATCTGTACACCTCACTATTACCAGAAGACTGGCGATCATTCTTTGAACATCACGATATTCACAGCATTTTGCAACTGCTACTGCGAGAGGACATTGGCCCGCTATGCGAACCCGCCGAAACCAACGCAGGCTCCGAGAATGGCAGGACTTGGAACGGAGGCGCATTCCCGCCTGCAAGCCTCCTCGAGTATATTCGCAACGTTCGACGATTCAGCTTCCGCCGCGAGTTCACCACGCCTGAGAAGAGCGAACCTCTCCCAAAACATATTGCTGTGAGCATGAACAAGAAGAAGAAGCACGAGGTGGAGCAATTCTCTCGCTATGTCGCGTCTTTGTCAGAGACGGTCAACGAGAGTCGCGGGGAGCCATTGTCTCACATTGTCGATTTTGGGTCCGGACAAAATTATCTGGGGCGCATGCTGGCAAGCTCGCCCTATCATAAGCATATCATTGCCATTGAGCGAAAGCACCAATACATCAGCGGCGCTAACCGTATGGACGTTCATGCTCGACTGGCCAAGGAAGAAAAGAAAAAAACAATGCATAACGCAAAGCTAAACAGATTGAAGAGGCAATGCATCGACTGTACCGACACCCCAGAACTAACCCCAGATCTAGCCACTTCGGAAAAGCCCGAAGTTCCTGGCTTGGAGATGAGAGCACCACTGAAAGCGAGCGATGAAGTGCCAAACGAACCTGCTGGGCAGGATGAAGATACCACGACCTCTAACATGCTAGGCGATATGACCCTAGAAGCCGATGATGTTCTCGGCTCGATGTACAGAAAGCCACATGTACTACATGTACCAAAGCCACGACCAGAGGTCGATACCAGAGGCACTGTCAGCTACATTGAACATAATATCCAAGATGGCTACCTGGAACCGATCATCGAGCACGTCGTCGACCCAAAGACATTAGTTGAAACCCGGACCAGCACCGAAGAAGCCATCATTCAACCCGATGAAAAGAAACCAAGTGATGCCCGGGTGATGGTCGTCTCGCTGCACTCATGCGGAAATCTCGTCCACCACGGAGTTCGATCACTAGTGCTCAACCCTTCTGTTGTAGCAATCGCCATGATCGGCTGCTGCTACAACCTTCTGACAGAACGATTGGGGCCAGCAACATACAAAATCCCCATCCTTCGATCCGCCCACCCCCGCCTCAAAAAGACCGGATCTTCATGGGACCCGCACGGATTCCCAATGTCCAAGCTCTACGAGAACTACCAAGCAAAGACCACGACAGGCTTCAAGCTCAACATCACAGCCCGCTCAATGGCTGTCCAAGCACCCCACAACTGGGGCCGCGCCGACAGCGAAGTATTCTTCACGCGCCATTTCTACCGCGCTTTGCTGCAGCGCGTTCTTCTAGATCGCGGTATCATCCCTAAACCCGATGTCCCCGATGACCTCTACAAAGACCATACAGACAACCCTGACTCCGGGGGTATAGTGCTGATCGTGGGATCCCTGCGCAAGTCTGCATTCGAGTCTTTCTCTGCGTATGTGCGTGCTGCAACGGTCAAATTGAGCCAGGATCCGATCCGGGGCGAGTTGGTCAAGGAGCGCATCTGTACCATGTCTGATGAGGAGTTGCAGCGCTATGAAACTGAGTACTTGCCTACCCGCAAGAATCTCAGTATTGTGTGGAGCCTGATGGGGTTCAGTTCTCAGGTTATTGAGGCTGCTATTGTGGTTGATCGCTGGCAGTTCTTGCGTGAGCATGACTCTGTCAAGGAGTGTTGGGTTGAGCCGGTGTTTGAGTATGGTCAGAGTCCGCGCAATCTGGCTATTATTGGGATCAAGAAATGATTCCTGTTATACTTTGGGTTCTCGGTTGCATTTAGATATGGCTGGGAGTTTGTGCTTTGGGAGTTTAGCTAATTCTGCACATATGTTCTCAGGTGTCTCGGTACATAGCGGGTGGTTTACATCTGAACATAGATGCATAGAACATGGGTTTCGGGGGCACATCTCTTAGACTGCGGAGGGGCCTAGCCTAACAATGCGAATGGCAATTAGCCCATGACAGATCTTGATGAGGCTCCAAGTTCTTTTTCTAGAAGTGGTACACTCTACATGTACCTTCGTAAGTAATAGAAAATCCTGAGTTATCAAAGAGTCCTAAGGCAACAAATGCCTATGTAGGTATCTCAGGTTGTTAAAGATATTTATCTTTGCACTATCCTTCCTACTAAATCCGCTAAGAAAGGTAGAATATTGGAAGGGATACCAAATTGGGAATAATCACAGCGGAAACGACGACGATTGCTGAGGATCTACACCTGTCACATCTACCCCCACGCTCATCGAGAGTAAGGTTGCAAGCGTTCTGGGAGCCCATTTCAACCTGCATATTGCGATTTCCGCGTCCAGCAAGCGTAACCTGCTCTATTCCTCACCAACTCGCACCTTCAGCTATGTGCATGCCTACTTATCGTCAGATGGAGCACTAGCTATTAGGTCTGACACAGTTCGTTCAACTGAGAGCTTCCTTGTAGAATACTTCAAGTGTTTTGCCTTTGGGAAATTCGCGGAACAATTCCCAGAAATTCAGGTACCGAAGGTAGTCGGCGTATTCCGGGGTATTGTCGCCTCGGATACACCAGGAGATTCGGTACTGGCCCATGTTGAAATTGGCCGTATCCATGATGCTACTCGGGTCCGAGAGGGGTTTGGAGCTTGCCTCGAGTCTTTCCTCTGGCCAAAGCTTCGCCCAATTTGCAGTATGAAGAATTGTCTGAAATGTGTTACAGCGGCATTGACTATGATCCTGAGACATGGTCTATGTTGCCGACCGAGAATGAGTCAGTGCCACAGATATAAGAAACCTTTCCCACAAGATCCATGGATGTGCAAGAGTCGATGGAATAGGGGAGCGCGAGCTCGGTCTGGCTAGATCTCGGTACGGCACGGGCCGTGGTAGTGACATGGCCAGGTGGGTTGGTAGCGGGAACATCCTTGGAATAGTGGTTTAGTTAAAATCTCGGGAATTAAATGACCTGTCCGGCTCGCTTCCGCCTGGTACTGTTTAGTCAATGTATGCATTAGAAAGGCGGCGGGAAAAAGCCAGTACCCGCTACATATACTTTAGCAGTATGGGAATTTAAATAGATGCTGAGAGCATTTAAGGGTTGACTCACCCTTGCCCGATTTAGAGATAGTACTAGTTGAAAATTCCTTATTACTCCTGAAAGACATGGCTCTAGTAGTATGGATTATGAGCACTTTGGGGCGATTTAAGGCTATAGGAACGTCGCATTTAATGTGGAGAATAGGAGGTAGGCGTTGTAATATAAGGCTAGTCCCAGAGTATGAACAAAGCCCCACGGAAATAATCCCCCAGGTTTTAATCCCCCAGGTTTCTACACACGAAAGAAGTTGAGTTCCAATTTACTCGGTGTTCTCATTGTGGCGGTCGTTTCCACCCTAATTTGCCCATTTGAGGGGGTTTGAGGGGATTCCGGAAGAGCCAGCGGGACTAGTGCTGCATTCTCAATAAACGAAGCTAATCAACATACGCGATACGCGAAGCCCAGTTCTGCTGAATTCACATGTCAGAATTGAACTTGGGTAGCTCTAAAATAGTTTCTAGACCCAAAGTATAGTGGATCACTATCCAGACTCCGCCATTTGGTGCTGTTACAAATGTAATCCTGGTAAGCTGGAGTCTCCAGAAATTTCCGAGGGGACTCATTGAAGGTTTCTCGATGAGTTCCCAGGTAAGCTAACCACTATCCTGCTCCAATCAAAAGGGCTTGTTGGAATGTTTATGGATCGGGTGAGGATGGATCTCATTTGGCTCTGTTATTACCAGCTGAAGGCAATGTTGACCCGAGTGTCGTTGTTGATCGTAATCTTGAGTGAAGATACCAGCCCAGAAGCATCTGGTTTAAGTATCACAGGCTCCATTGCCGCAAAATATTCAGGGAGGGAAATTGTTCTATCTAATTTCCATTCCCAAGCTGGACTGTATAAACTGGATGGTATCATATTGCGAAGGATCAAAATATAATCTCGTCCCTCCCAAGGCTCCATGTCGCTAAAATCTCTTGGAGCAGTGGCTCAGGCTCAATTGAACCGTGTGGCTGAGCCAGAGCGTCGGAAATGTGAAGGAGCGACGCAGCTGTTTTCTCCTAGGACTGGAATATTCACTCAATATTGGTCTCATTTCGGTATGCCTGTGGAGCCCGTTTTGAGAAGAAATGAGCATATATTCCCAAGCCGACAGCGCCTAAGGCGCGATCGAGGCTCTTGGAAGTCAGACGATCGAACTGGTCTCGAATTACAGCCTAACCAATGTAGGATCGAATAGCACATTATCACTCCTCGGTGCTTTGTTGCTTTGTCCTCATTCACCTTGTCTTACGCAGAACTGAATACCCGTTACGGGGTGTTGAACCAAACCCAGAACAGTTCGAAGACACTATACCGACCCCTGCATTTAATCCAAGACCTTAAGAAGAACTCTCTCCTACCTCCTGCCCCTCGCAGATTCAAGTTCATAGTCAATACGGAATGGTCGCTTGACTCTTGTCTTCTTTCCCCACCTTTCAAAAGACCACCTTCTGCCCAGCATCGTATATTGAAAATTAATATCTCGACAAATTCGTGGCTGCAGCACTTTCGTGACCATGGTGGCAATCAATTTTGGGCGTGAACCTAAGGAGGCAGCCAACATTCGAACAACAACGAGAGAACACCAGGCGAATGAGGACACCCAGAGCTTAGAAGAAAGGAATGAGAGGGAATTGCTTGAACACCCAGATGAGGTTACCCAGGAAGCACAGGTCGGAGTCCAGAAAGCCGAAGCTACGGCTTTGGTATGGTCCAAAACCGCCTTGTATGCGACATATGCCTGGTAAGTCTATTTAACGCCTTGGGCGCTTCCATCAATAAACCAGTACAATCCCCACCCGAATCTTTTGCCAAAGCCACATGAGACGATAACTAATGTGAGATACTCACTGCCAGGATCTGGTTATGCTTCTTCGTTCTGTCTATGCAATCGTCTATTAGCAGCAACGTGATCTACTACGCATACGCAAACTTCGCTTCAGCTCCTCAAATATCCCAGGCATTCATTGTCTCGACAATCATTGGAGGAGTTCTTCAACTTCCTATCGCAAAATCTCTTAATCTATGGGGCCGCGCCGAGGGGTTCCTGGCTTTATTGCTGGTATTCATCCTAGGACTCATCGTAATCGCCGCATGCGATGGTCCTAATGGGTTTGCAGCTGGTTACACCCTATACTGGATCGGTTATACTGCCCTGAATTTCATTCTGACAGTCTTCGTTGCCGACGCGTCCGGGCTGCGAAATCGAGCTTTCGTCTACGCGTTTATCGGTACACCCACGATCTGTACGGCCTTTGTAGGGCCCCTCATTGCTCAGGCATTCCTGACCCATTCTACCTGGCGTTGGGCTTACGGCTGTTTCGCTATCATCACCTTTTTCGTCTTTGTGCCTCTTGCTCTCGTGTTCAAGTTCTATCAACGCAAAGCCGAGAAGTTGAATCTTTTTATTCGGGTCCCGAGTGGTCGAACGACGGCGCAGTCGTTCGTTCATTACTTCCACGAGTTTGATATTGTTGGCGCTTTCATCCTCATGGCGGCCTTCATCCTGTTCCTTCTGCCGTTCAGTCTTGAGACTTATGGCTTTAGTGGATACTCCTCGGCGACTTTTATCGCCATGGTTGTCATTGGAATCTTGCTATTCCCAGTCTTTGCTGTTTGGGAGCGGTTCTTTGCCAGAACTCCTTTCATCAAATGGGAGTTATTCAAAAAGCGCACAGTTCTTGGAGCTTGCATCTTGTCGGCTGTGATTTTCTTTAACTACTACACGTGGGATCAGTACTTTTACTATTACGTGCAAGTCGTCTACAACCTGGACACCTCGAAGACAGGATACATGACACAGATATATGGCGTTGGATCGACCATCTGGGCAGTTCTGTTCGGCATCTGGATTCGTCAGACCAAACACTTTAAGAACGTCTGTCTTTACTTCGGTGCACCACTAATGCTACTTGGCGCGGGTCTTATGATTCACTTCCGAGGCTCCCAAAGTAACATCGGATACCTGGTTATGTGTCAAATTCTCATTGCATTTGGCGGTGGCACTCTTATTATCGGTGATGAGATGGCTGTTATGGCTGCCGCTGACCGTGATGGCGTCCCACTGATGATTGCTATGATCAGTTTGTCCTCTAGTTTTGGCGGAGCTATTGGCTACGCCGTTGCAGTCGCCATTTATTCCAATACATTCCCCCAGGCCTTGCTCAGGGCGCTTCCCGATTCAGCCAAGGCTGATTATGCAACCATCTACGCCGGTGGCTCGGCAGCTCAGCTCTTGTACCCCCCTGGTAGTGAGACAAGGAACGCGATCAACCACGCGTGGGCATACAGCCAGAAGTACGAGTGCATTACGGCGGCTGTTCTTCTCGTTCTCGCTTTCCCAGCGATTGCCATGTGGAAGAATTACAATGTCGGCAAAAAGCAAGTGAAAGGCACCGTCATCTAATACTTGAAGTGTGCTTCGAGATTGTGACTGATGCGGATTAGTATGGAGAGACTAGATAGTAGAGGATAGATCGCCAATCATAGCATTGCAATATAAGCACTGAATAAACTGCAGATAATTTCCTTGTATCGCATGATGAAGTCAACTTCAAATATGTATTTATTGGAATGCAGAGGTTTTCGCATCGAAATATTCAGCCGGCAATAATGAGATCTCTCCTATCTCTGGCGATGCCTGTTCACGAAGCAAATAATATATGACAAGACCGTATAGGCTAGGGAGATTTGTTCCTAATGTAACATATTTTCCATATGGTTTTACGTTAGTATGCAGCCCAACATCGTTAGCTCCAAGGCTAGAAACGACGCTGATTCCTTTCGTTTCCCCTGTACACATAACCAATATGCTAGCCATTCATGAACTTGAACATACACATGCACCCACTATATTTGTATCGCATCTGTCCGCATATACGTGAGGTTGATAAATGGAATGGAGGGTATTTCAGTGCAAGATCTCTGATATTGAAGCTATAGAATCAGAGGGAATAACATATGACAGGTTGGATATGAGACACAGATAAATCAGGTGGGATCTAGATCATCCATAGCGATCAAAGGAGATTGTCTCTAGTTCTATGGCCTTATATTGACAACGTACGTAGTACGTGGTGTTGGTGAAGGATATATTATCTGTAGCCCGCCCCGCTTATATGTAGAAACTTGCTCAATTCCACTCGCATTGTTCCAATTCTGCTATATTAATTTGTCGAACTAGGACCAAGGCCCCCCTCGGCCCTAAACAGGAACCGAGGTTTTTGTTATGGTCTAATGGTAAAATGGCTGTAATATTTCCCACGTAATTCCACAATGTTGTTTTATTTAACCTTTTTAATTTTTTTTCTAGCATTAATCCTGCGTTTTGCACTCGTACCGCCGAAGGGCAAATACGACGATAATTGCCGAGAGATGGATTGAGGGTTCCCTAATAGCCTTGGAAACTAATAAAACATTCTATAGTTATCATCTCCAGGAATAGATGCTTTATTACGGAACAATGACACATGCTATAACGAAGACCAATAGATTCAAATAAGTTGCTTTGGCATTGACGGAATCCCTCACTTGTAGTAGATGTCTTAAGACTAGGACGAGTTCGTGAAGAGCCATACGGCTGAAGCTCCTCCTAGTCAGTAAGTTGTGATCTAACCAAGTGTGTTTTCGATTACTGATTGGCTGGATTCTGATGTTCGTGTCTCTAAAACTCATATACTCTACGCTCGATGCCTTGGCAACCATCAGACTCTATATTCCTCTATCATGACTAGAAAACTAGATCTAGTACTCAGGTAGCAAAATGCGTACAAATAGATACTGGAGGCTTTGCGCAGCACGGAACACGGGGCTTTCTCCATGTTATCAGGAATACATGGGAAGATATTCTCGCGAATGCGTCTAGGGCTCCAGCGCTGAACGACGTTCAGTTGACACGAAAGAATGAAGCTTATCGTGACACGAAAATAAAACTTTCATTGGGTAGACTCATGGAAAGGACCTCATAAAGGAGTGATTGTTGTATCATCATTCTGGTTTTCGTCACTCTTCTTTACACTCTTCCACTCGACAAAGCAAGCTGCCACAAATGCTGCCAACATCAAAGCCAGACTAACGCGATAGGTGTTCCGCAATCCGTTCATATAAGCTCGAACCACGTTATCCAGCTGATCGAGTTGGCCCAAAGTGAGCAACACATGCCTCATATCAGTGGCTCCTGCGTTTATAATCGCACTTGGCTCAACGTCGGGCGCGTATTCGCGAATGCCTGCTATCAGACCATTCTGGAAAACCGACTGACCCACCGCGATGAAGATGGCGCCACCCAGTGTCTGGAAGAACGTGATAGCGGCTGTTCCCACAGGAATATCCTCTGGCTTCAACGCAGTTTGCACGGCTGTCATTGGGATTTGAAGACCGGCACCGATGCCCGCACCGACAACAATCTGGTAACTGATCCATTTCCCTGTCGAAATATCAACGTCGTACAGGGTAATAAGACCTGTACCAATAGCAGCAATAGCGGTGCTTGAAATCAGAAATGGCGTGTAATAGCCGGCTGTAGTGACCATAATTCCCACCATAATAGATGAAACTACTGTGGCAAGCATGAATGGTAGAACCTGAAGTCCTGCAGTTATAGCAGAGGATCCTTTGACGCTCTGAAAGTAGATAGGAACATAGTAGACCAGAAGGAAGAAACCGCCGCTGAAGAAAAATGCAAACAAGCCGGCGGACCAAATGGTGCGCTGCTTGAGAATTGAAGGCGGCAAAGTTGCCCTTCCAGCATTCTTGCCTGTCGTATTTTTCTTATCTTGCCCGCTCACATAGATTTGGGATGCGGCAAAAAGGATAGTCAAAAGACCAAACCCCACAAACAGTCCGATAATTTGAGAGCTTCTCCAGGTATAGGCATTTCCGCCCCATTGCAGGGCAAGAATCAAGCATACGATAGCCGGTATGAGAAGGCTTGCACCCATTAAGTCAAGCTCTTTGATAAGTTGCAAGATAGGTAGCCCAGATACCTTGTTGTTGCTCGGTAGGCGGAGGACCAGGAGAACGACAGCGATGGAAACCCCGCCAACAGGAAGATTGATATAGAAACACCATCTCCAAGAGGGACCATCAGTGAATGCTCCGCCAAGCAGTGGGCCTACAATAGAAGCAATTCCCCAGACCATGCCGTATACACCAAAAACGATCGGCCTCTTTGCCAGGGGAACAGTCATGGAGATGATGACCAGCGCGCCGGAGAAGATGCCTGCAACGCCAATTCCTGCAATCGCACGACCAACAATCAGGACTGTGCTGGAAGGCGCCACACCACAAATCAGCGATCCAATCTCAAAGATGCTAACCGCAGCCAAAAAGGACCGTTTCACCTGAAAAGTGTCAAAAGGTTTTGTGGATGTGAGGACTAGGAGAATGTTGCTGCAAAGGACTTACACTCAGCATCTTATAGATCCGACCATATGACGGCTGTAGTGCTGTCGACGTCAAGAAGTAGGCACTGCCATACCAGGCAATGTCGGGGATACTCTTGAACTGGTCCGTGATCTTTGGAATAGCCACTCCGATGATGGTCTGATCAAGAGCTACCAAAAAGGCTGCCAGGTAAATGGCCAACACAATTATGATCACTCGGCTTAGTGGAGGATATTCGGGATCTTTGTTGGAGTCCGAATCTTCGATACTGGCCTCTTCATAGCTCGACTGCTGAGCTGTCTTCCCATGACCAGCCTCGAGGTCTGGGGCAGTGAGAGTTTCACTCATCACAGAGGTAGTATTGGTACTTGTAAGAGGACTAGTCAAGGCCCTAGAGTTATCTTATCGATTTTGCCTTGGGGTGTAGAACAGCGAGTCGGAAGGAGCAGGCGAAGAGACGGGGATTGTCTTCGATTGCACCAACTTGATGCACAAACACAGGCAGAGGATTTAAAAAACCTTCCTGCACTTGACATTTCTCGTATTCGTCAAGGAATTACTCGAAAATTGATCGGGCTTGAACCCCGCTGTGTCCCACGACTGATGTGCCTTTCACGAGAATGGGTCTAGGGAAGAATAAAATATTACAATTACCTCAAACTTGCGCTCGCTAGTGGGAGAGTGAACTTTTGTCACTTCTGGGCAACTCATCTTAGTCTCAATATGATCCAAAGTCGCCAATTCTCGGATGTTGATTGCTCACCTTCCCGTTGTGGCGCGAAGGGACTTATAAAAGTGGAACTACCCATGGTTATCTTCTGGATTGTGCTCATAATATAATTATATCACTCGAGTTAATACTCCGTAGCCATGTTGAGTCCGGAAAAGTCCGAAATATCCACAGTGCACCACGTGTGGCGTAACTTCCCGCAATAGTTTTCTACTTTTGTATCCATTTTCACATTTAATATCACCAACTCAGCTCCACATCATACCAGACACGAGCTAGGTCAATCTAACTGCTTCAACTACCATACCTCGTACCCTCCTTATCTAGTGCACAGTCCCTGTATTGGTGGCATAGGGCCATCCTCCTTGGACCACGGGAGTTCTTCCGCAGCTAAAAATTGCCTCAAACCTGCTCGGAATCTCGTTTAACAAAACTTTCCGCATCATATCCAACTCTCGATCCTGAGATTATCCGATGGAGTACCATTGTTCCTTGATGACATGTGTCAAGGACACAAGGAAGTTGATATGATCGGGTTCCTGTTCGCTGAACTGATTTCCAAATGCAGGTGTGGATTCCGAATCACTACATGGCACTCCAGTCACAATAAATGACATTTACTTCCACCTACCAGGGATATGTTTGTTATTCTGATTTTTTGTCACTAGATTCTACTCACACGTCTCTGCTGCACTTTGCCAAATTTCGTGACTTTTTCGCTGATCTAGCGCCCAGATATAGTCCAGGGGTGAGCATATTGAAACCAACATGGTGTCGCTGGACACTCATCCTCCTAAATCCACTCAGTGGCCGATTTCGTCGACTGTTGAACCCGATGACAGCCCTTTCGCCAGTTCCTTGCATTCAGCTGGCCATGTGAGGGAGATCTCGCGGCTCATCTTGGATATCTTTCTGGCGTATGCTCTCAATAAGTTCAAGTATTCAGAAGACCGTCTCGAGGACTACGGAGATGGCTTTCTTTCTATCATCGGCCGATTTGTCTCCAAAGGTACCCGTGTGCAAGCTTGTCTCCCTGCTTTCCCCTTCAAGTCGGCGAACAAAGTGTACAAGGTGCTCGGCAGCTTGCCAGACAAGGCAGAGGAGCTGGCTCTAGAGCGATTGAATACCATGTGCAAGCGTGTTCAGGATGTCTACGCTCCGGGTGCTCATATTGTCATTATTTCGGATGGCATTACCTACAATGGTACGTGGATGAATTCACAGATAATACAACCGGATTTGAATGGTCACTAACGTGTTTGTTCCACGTGATTGCAGACTTGTTGTGTATCTCTGACCTGGAAACCTGGAAGTATGGCGAAGCCTTACGTGAGATGGTTGTCAAGAACGGTTTCGACAACATTTCCTTCTCAAGGATTCGAGACCTTCTAGAGTTTCCTCTACCGGAAAGAATGAGCGAGATCATCTATGTGGCCAACTGTACCAACTTCCGTCGCTTGCTTTTGAACAAATACGGCAATACGGACCTCAACATTGACCATGAAATTACCACAAATCCAGATACTAAGTTGACATATCTGGGATATAAGCGATTCCTGGAGTCTGATCTTCAGTACATTTTTCCTCGAGGGAAGAATCGCTCAGCCCATAGTTACAAACGAGATTGCAAGTATCTGGCCAAGCAGATGCTCACAAGAGGATACGTAAGCAGAGAATAATCCCGAGGTCCCTGTGGACACACTCGGGTACTATGAGCCTTCAAATGTTGTTATACTGATGTCCAGTGATAGGCGTTTGCAGGGGCAATCAAGGACGCCTTCCCCAACCATCTGCGACTTTCAATCCACGAATCCATTTGCGGTACCAAGCTACCCATTAGCTTGCTAAACACCAAGACGGGATTCACTACCCCATGGCACTGCTGTGTTGCTCAATTAGCAGACGGAGTGTGGGTTAGTGCTCCTGTGGGTGAGTTCAGCCAGGATAGCCGCCTTGAACTTGTCCATGTCGATGGAAATCGCAGTCACTACCAAGAAAAACTACTTCATAGCGACCATATCGCTATTAGCGAGACAACGGCGAGTTACCTTCAGCCGTCCAAGTCCATCGATTTCAATGCATATATCAATGGTGCATTGAAGAATCCATCATCACTTTCATCTTCCTCTAGCGAAGTTTCCCTCCCTTCGTCTGAGGGCAAATCACCAGGCAGCATGTTCACCACACCAGATGTTCAATCAGTGCCAAAATTCTCGTCTACACAATCTGGCCCATGTATCACGTTCACTAAAGAGTCTGACCTTGCATCACTACCGCAAGAGACTCAAACCACAGTGTCAACGCCATACGGTAGAAGGCTCATCCCTCAGATAATGGATAGCCTTGCTGCCAGCGATCCCGAGCGGACCGTCTTCTCCCTTGCATCCCTCTCGAACGGGTTCCTTGAGCTGAACCCTATTTCTGCTCGACAATTTACCAGAGCAGTTGACAAGACTGCCTGGTGGCTTCGTGATCAGGTTGGCACCCCCGAAACAGTTCAACCTGTGGGTTATATTGGACCGCGTACGTTCAGCCCATATTTAAAATCCTTGCTTCGCTTTGTATCTTGACCACTAACTCCACTGGTTGATTTAGACGATCTACGACATGTTCTGTTGACATATGCATGCGTCAAGGCGGGCTACGCGGTATGTTCCTGATAAAGACTACGATCTCAAGTCTCTAATTCCTTCTTCCTGGTAGGCTTTGTTCTTGTCGCCCAAAAACAACACGGACGGAGTTCTGGCAGTACTTACGGCAACAAACTGCAATATCTGGGTCAATGCAGTCGAGGCTTCTCCCGTCCCTTTAGTCAAAGACGTCCTTCAGAAACGACCTATGACGTGTTTGCACCTTCCCATGCTCCAGGAGCTTCTTGATACCGAGTCCACTGAAGCATTCCCGTACACCAAGAGTTTCGAAGAGGCCATAGACGATCCATTTTGCTTCTTGCATACGTCTGGAAGTACTGGGTTGCCCAAGCCCATTCCCTGGTCCAATGGACTGATTGGCACTATGGATGCAGTACGACTACTCCCGCCCGTGGGTGAAAATGCCGATTTGGCTCCTTGGACTTCAGGCTGGGATGAGGGGGACAAGATATACTCATCATTTCCAATGAGCCACGTACGTAAACTCTTCCTTTCACTCTATTTTTGGGGGATCAATAATATGGCGTGGAATATTTCTTAGCTGACTGAAATACCAAAAGGGTGCTGGAATTATTATGGATATTTTGATGCCTGCATTTTTCAATCTTCACTGTGTCTTAGGACCAGTTGGTGTTTTGCCAAATCTTAATCTTGTGGAGAGATTAGCTGTGGACGCTAAAATTGACATATGGAGTATGGTCCCATCTCTTGTTGATGAACTGGGTGAAACCCCCGGGATTTTGGCAAAGCTCCAGTCGAGCAAATTCATCTGTGCATCTGGAGGCCCTGTTAGTCTTGTCAGTGCTGGCAAGGTCAATGAGGTGGTCAGGGTGCTCAACTTGACTGGTACGACAGAAGGTCTCTTCATTGGGAATCTGAAGACAGAGCAAGAAGACTGGTTCTGGTTCTGCTTCCATCCATACTCTGGGTTCGAGTTCAAAGAGCTGGAAGCGGATACATATGAGCACTGGGTGCATCGCAATGAACATTGGCCACTCTTCCAGGGTATCTTCCACACATTTCCAGATGAAGACTCGATCAACTTCAAGGACCTATACATGAAGCACCCTACCAAGCCCAATCTGTGGGCTTTCAAGGGAAGAAGCGACGATCTTGTCGTCTTGTCAAATGGGTACAAGATATCTCCGCTTGAGACAGAGGCATTTGTCACTACTCACCCTGCCATCTGTGGATGCCTTATTTTTGGAACTGGAAAGCCTCAAGCGGCCCTACTGATTGAGCTCAAGAACCCATCTAATATAACGGCTGATCTCATTGACAGTATTTGGCAAACGATTCAGACGGCCAATTCCATGTCTAGACACAAAAACCAGTTACTGAAGGACTTTGTCACTTTCGCACAACCAGACAAACCCTTCTTACGAACAGACAAGGGAACAGTGAAAAGATCAGCCACATTGGCGTTATATTCCGAGTACATCGAGCGTTTCTACAGTTCACGCAGTGATGATTCCGATAATGCTATCAATCTGGATCTGAGCTCAACCAGTTCGACCGAGGACGCTATCCGTACAATCGTCAGCTCTTTGCTTTCCGAAGCCCAGGACATTCTGCCTGACGCAGATTTGTTTGTACTTGGGCTTGACTCTCTAGGTGTCTTTGCCGCTGTGAAAGCAATTCGAGTAGCTTCGGGTTTGGGTGATAAAATCGCCCCTCGACACGTTTACGCCAATCCAACCATTGCGAGCCTTGCTGCAACGGTCTCCATACTGATGGATGAAGCACAGAGTGCTAAAGATGATATTCCTCTGGATCGAATTCGGGATGATGATGCCTCTAAGGTGAATGATATGATCGCGCAGCACAGGGCGCGGCAATCTTTCCGCTTGAACGCCTTCGACTACGTTAACCCCAATCACGGAATGGGAATTGTCCTTTACTTCTCTATTCATGAGGAGACATCTTTTGAGCAGGTCTTTGTCAATCTTCAGGAAGGACTAAATCGCACATTCGACATGATACCAGCTCTCAGTGGCAAGATGATGGACTGCTCCGAGCAAGAACTTGGCTACAGCAAAGGAGATCTCTGCGTGACAATTCCGCCACTCTCCATGGCGGCTTCTGCACGAGACCGCCTGTTGTACAAGGATCTCTCACATGTTCTTCCATCCTTTGAGAAGTTACGGGAAGCGGGTTTCCCGCCGTCTGCGTTCAAGGATGGCCTCGTTCTGCGAGACGATCCCTTCCCAAAATTCCCCGCAGACATTTTCTCTGGCCAAGTGAACTTCGTTTCTGGTGGCTGCGTGGTTGCAGTTGACTTGAACCACTGCTGTCTCGATGGTCTCGGAGTCATGGTCGTCCTCAAGGCCTGGGCAGAAAACTGCAGATATCTACAAGGTGATCACACGGCAACTTGCACCTGGTATGACCCTGAGAGCTTTAATCACACATTACCGGAAATCATTCACGAGCAAGAAGGATGGGCTCGACCGGTCGAAGAGATTGATCCTGGCACATGGGGCTTCTTACCCTTCTTCCCACCTGGTGACAACAAAAGCATGAAAGAAATTTCCGTTGACCTCAAGGGCCATGTGCTACCTCCTGCGCCTGATTTCAAGTTACATGATGTTTGGCCACTTCCCCAGGCTGAACGGTGTCCTAAAACGACTCTGTTCCTGATTAGGCCCGACAAGCTTGAGAAGATGAAGCGAGAGGTCATTTCCGATCCCGAAACGAAGGGAGTCATCAAATCAATCAGCGACATTGTGCAAGCCTTCCTGTGGCGAGCTGCTATCAGAGTACGATACAGTGTAGCCAAAGAAATCCGTAAACAGACGTTCAAGCCAGACGAGGTGTCCATTCTTGAGCTGCCCACGGATGGCCGTCCATACTTCTCTTCACTATTGCCCTCGACATATATGGGCAGTCTACTGATTCTTAATCGATCAACCATGCCGATCGAGACACTGTGCTCTAATCAGACAACTATTGGCCGCGTCGCTTATTTGCTCCGTCAGTCCGCCGCACGCATCACCCCTTCAGTCGTCCACGACGCGTTTTCAATTCTGCAGTCACTGCCAACCCATGACCGATTTTCGACGGCGAATATGGGTCTTGAACATATGCATGCTATGATTTCCAATATGATGCTATTTCCAACCAACGATATTTGTTTTGGAGATGCCTTCTTTGCCAATCGAGGGTTGCCTGAGTCGTTAAGACCACAGCTTGAGCGTGGAAATGGACGATTCCGATTCCTCGTCATTTTTCCTATCAGGAAAGACGGGGGCATTGAGATTGCTTTGGGTACTCATCCGGAGGAGTTGGAGATGTTCCAGGCAGATGAAGAGTTTACAAAGTATGCTGAACTTGCAGATACGTGCTGCTGAATTCATTCTGGTGTATATTGTATAAGATGATCTGGCATCAATTGATCCCATTTTCTTTCATCTGACGTACTAAAATGACATTGCAATTTGGATCATAAAAGCCTTTGAAAATGAGCCATGTGGTTCAATTCGTCTGAATGTGTGTCGGCTAAGAGTCACCTTAATTGCGCTTCTAAAGCGAGATGGCTAAATCATAATATACTCGGTATACCTAGGTACGAACCTAGGGGTTTTATATAGAAAGTTATTAGATTTGCGAGACGATTTCTTCATCTTCCCTTCACCAACATTCCAATCATTCTAATCCTATATCCACGTCTAGGTCATCAAAAGATAACACATAATGTATGTATCAAGCAAAAGCAATCCACTGCGTCCCACAAGCTGCCGCAACTTCTCGCGCCGGTCTACCAATCATCCCCTTCCAGAACGCAGAAGTACCAGAAGGAACGAGCTCTTCAATCTCCAAAGCCAGCAAAGCATCAAAAGTCCAATCCTGACACCGTCCAATTGAATTCTTAGGAGCAGGCTCCTTCTCAATAACCTTGATCGCGTCGTGTCGTTGTTGAGACGTCAGATCGGCGATCTTGCACATCCCCACAGCTGCCTTGTCGATGATCTTTGTGGCGTACCGAGGCGCAAATCCGTACCACAACCTGTCTGAATCGATGACCTCGACTTGGAGGAGATCGCCGAATTCCAGGTTCCCGGGCTTGTTGATCATGAACCCCCAGTGGGATCTGTGTGTGGGGCTATCGCCAGGTCCGAAGACTTCTATTGAGAGGTTGTAGGCCATTTTGTTCTATGCGATCAGTCTTCATTTCATATATGCAGTTTTGGGGGCTGTGATGGTTACATACCTTTTTGTGGTTTGTGTATCGTGCAGAACTACCCTTGGAGATAATTTCTTGCAAGTTGTGATCTCATACCTTGGCTTAGGCACACCCTATACTAAGGAGTATTAAGATCAGATGACTTGGATGTGATCGAAATTGACGAATGCGAGAACCCAACCAATTGTGCGTTGTCGATTGGCGCTTTAGCCCCTCTTTGACAGCTCGAATATGCCACTAGTTTGGACTACAAAACATATCCTACAGAATGTCGGCATATGTCACTAAAAATTGACACGTCTATTCCCTACCACACTCGAGGTCTTCGAATACGCATTTTCCAGGTGCTTACCTACACCTCATGTCTCACACCCAGATATCCAATACACCAAAGCCAAATCGTTCACTGACATTCAATTTTATACATCAATTTTATACCTGTAATGTTGTGTGTTCAACTAATCTCCACACTCCCCTCAGGAACACCCTGCCTACTCCGCAACCTGCGCGCAAAGAACTGCATAACAGGCAACATCTCCTCCCGACTCGACGGCATCCCATCCCCCTTCCTAGCATACCGGCTCACCTCAACGAACTCAAAAACCTGCTTCGTCCTACGCACCGCCTCATCCGAAACAGCCACCGAATCCCTCCCAGCAACCAGCAGCACCGGCGTGCGATTCTTATCCCCGACCCTAGATCCCGACAACGGATACGGCGCCCCAATAGAGATAACTCCAGAGAAAGCACCGACCTCACCATTGCCGACATTACCATTTCCCTTCAGCCCGATCTCCCGCGCAATAGCCAGCGCAGCCATCCCGCCCTGCCCGAAGCCCAGCACCATAATCTCGCGCAGCGCGTACCCGCATTTCTGCACGAGCGTGCCGCGCACGACGTCTGACACGAGGATTCTCGTGCTGCGCGTCAGGCCGGCGTCCATGTCTAGTGCGCCGGTCGCGGAGTCGAAGGAGACATCGTCGCCCCAGTGGAAACCGCCCAGGTCGAAGGGGAGTGGGGCTGTGCCTTGGACTGTGACGATGGTTGTTTCGGGGAGGCGGATGGCTTCGGCGAATTTTGTGAATGAGGCGGCTGTGTCGCCGAGGCCGTGCAGTAGGAGGAGGATGTTTGGGGCTGGGGATGTGGATTGGGAGGGGGGGGGAGAGGGTGGTGCGGGTGTGACAGTGACGGTGAGTTCGGATGGAAAGTCGGATGGGGTGGGGGTTTTTGTGGGCATTTTTAATTGAGATGAGTTGAGTTAAGTTGAGTTCACTCGAGTTCAGTTGGAGCTTGCGGAGCTTGGAGCTCGGAGAATGGCGTTGAGTGTGGCTGTGATCTGTAGATGTGGCGTAGCGCTCCGCTTGTGTATGTTTCCTGCCTTGGAAGGTTGTTAATGGGGACACGGTACGGAGTACTCCGTACAATGTATGGTGCAATTGTAGTTACTCCGTATACTACTATGTAGTATAATGCTCAAGGATGTACTTGAGCAAGGGTCTCACATTAATTAGGAGACGAATTGCCTCTCGAGCGGTGTATTGTGATGGTATTGCGGTTGCCTGGCGCTGATCAAAATATTGAGATTTTCAATCGTTTGACGTTTGACGTTTGACGGGGGGAAAGAAACCTTGGCAATCAAGTTCATATTATGCGTTGTGCTCTAGTTAGGTAGTATAATTGACACTTCCATGGATGTTGCGTTGCATCTAAGGAACTTGACCAACACACCACTCGTAGTAAATATGTAGTGTTTTTTGTTTCTTTCAGAAGCTGCATAATACATATGTACACATATCCCGGATGCACCTGGGAAATCATATGCGGACATCATGACAATTATGTATTTAGGCCCATCTGCAATGGATCAAAGAGTCCATGTGCTATTTTAGTCCAAGTGTCGCTTGAGGCCCCGGGGTCCGATGTTCCAGTACGTAATTGGTTTGAGGTCAGCCCACCCGTCCACGGGTATTCTATTAGAAGACACATTTGACTCCAATTTTATTAATAAAAAGCACTTCTTAGTTAATATAGTTATCCTCTACGAAGTCAGTGCCTATTAGGTAATTGTAAGTGTAATACCCAACATTCCATGTTCACCGCCACTTTCCTTGTGGCTAGTGTTGCCGAGACTTATAAGGCGATGACAAGCCTCGAAGACAGGCTTGGCTCGCCTAAACCAGGCTGATCAGATTCTAACTGCGTCATGTGTACCGTATAATTGGTCTGCAATGGAGCTAGTAACGTCTGTGTCATCTTATTATTCGTCCATTCATAGCGGAGTAGGGCTGAAACGACCCATCAGATCGGCGCGCTATTGGATATCGGGTGGGACACGTACTCGTAACGCCGAGCGCCAGGGTAGAAAGTTGTACCCTGTATGTGTAAGGTGTTGGAAAGCGTCCGGCAGAAAGCAGGATTGGTGTACACATACACAGTGTAACACGGTGCTAGCTATGCCTTGTTGAGCTGGACAGTTGCACATGCATGGAGGATGTCTCTCAGGGCAACCCCTGGACCAAACATCAGTACCGGGGACCAAAAGGTGGTTCGGCTGGGATTTGGTAAAAGCTAAAACAACTCCTGGCGGGGATCGTGATAGAAAGTCCTCCCTCTCCGTGACCTGGTGGTCCTCCAATGAAGTCGTAGACTAGCGATGCGGTGGTGCCGATGATTCCACCGCAGCTCCCAATGAAGTGCCTCCTCATCACTCACCCGGGATACCCGACAATAACAACTACAATGTAAGCATCTGCTACCTTCACCAGCCACGGCCCAATGATATTATGAAAGTTGTGTCTGATTCATGTGCTGGAGGGGCGTTTTGGTTCTATCCACTAACATATCTACATCATAGAACGTACTCCGTACATATGTTGTAGAAACCGCCCCAGCCACTATTCTCGTAGATTGGATGGTGGGGCAACTGGTAGCTGAAACAGAGGGGAGAAAGCTACCCCCGACTCTTAGTACAACGTACGGAGTAGACTACGTAGGCCTTCCAGAGTATTCCGTACTCTCTCCTCTCCTGCCTGGGTATAAGATCCCCTCATCACCCCTCACCTACATTGTATTCTTCTTTTCTTCCATCAGTATACAACCCTTTTCTCACTTCCCTCATTTTTATCTATACACACAATGGCTTGGGGCTGGAGTAAGTCTGACTTTCCCTCGAGAGGCCTAAACCTTGCTGCTTGCATGCATCAGGGCCCGACCCGACCTGCATAGCCGGCAAGATCCCAACACCACTCCATTGGCCATCAAAGCGAAAACTAAGCTGACGCCAAGCTAGACGAATCCGAGAAGGCGCACCAGGAGGTGTACAACGGTGAGCAGCATCACGAGGGCAAGTTCTCTCATGAGTTCGTTGCCGGTGCCGCCTCCTTTGCCGGCATGAAGGCCTACGAGGACAACCAGCGCAGAGATGGTACGTGAAATACTGCAATTCATTCCAATCCAATCTATCTTGGGTAATCTTCTGACTCAGATTTGAACACATAGGCAAGGAAGTCAGCCACGCCTTCGCCAAGGAGCTCCTCGCCGGCATCGTCGGCGGCGAGGTCGACAAGCTCGTCGAGAGCAAGGGTATGGACTGGGTTGACCGTGAGAAGGCCCAGCACCACGCCAAGAAGAACGCCGAGCACATGTACGAGGAGCGTTACGAGCGTGGCAACTACTAAGCCACTCGTATCGACGATGGCAATGGATGAATGATGAAAAACTTGTTTTATGAACACCCTGTGGTTGAATGTAGTAAGAAAGAGATATGATCTATCAAACAATTTGGACATCTCAACTTCGTACCTGGAAAGAGCGGTGTATGTAAGGCGTCCAATGTAATCCAAGATCGATATCGATATCCACATCCCGAGGTCGTATGTACATACATATATGTACATATGTATGCACGATATAGGAACTTGCATGGCATACTCCGTAGTTCCGACATGACATACGTAGGGCTACGTACGTCTACCTACGTCTAAGACACTCAGTCCGACAGAAAATATGCGCCAAGCTTTCACAGGGATACCCGGGCTTTATTTGAGCCAGTCATCACCATGAGAACCCGCCGACTGCATTCCGGCCGCATTCCAATGCTGTCGTATCTTAGATAGGAGGCCAGTCGTCGGGTCAATTGCCGATGAATTGCGTCCGTCTTAGATACTTTCTTTTTCTGTACTGCATAATAATTGATAGACCACTGCAAGGTTGAATATTGGATAAGCCCTTGAGTATGAAAGAAGTGAAGATATCCCCAGGTCGTAGATTCCCCAAACTTCAGGAATCTGGCCTTGTGGGTCTGAGGGTCCGGTGACAGCCAATAAAAGTACAAGGCTGACCAATAGTGGGGTTTCGGCCTGATAATCCAGGCGACCAGAGCTGATGAGCTCATACACGTGCCAAAAGTATAGGTTAAGGTACAGAGTTTGCGGTGTTGCAGATATTCTGGAGAGATTCTCGAGTCTTAGTATATCGTCTTGGAATTTCTGCTTGTTTTTCTTCAAGGTTTTTCTTTCCGATACTATTCGTCCTCCCCTATCCCGTTTCAGGAGTGGCGGCTAGGCTTTGATTTACTTTTGCTCAAGCTTTCGATCCTTCGCACTTGTGTGGGATTTGATGTTCGGATCAGAGCCGGCACTCCCAGGTCTAAAACCGTATGCAATGACGGTGGTCTGTTGGTCAGGATGAAATTTGCCAAGTTTGTGTTCCCGTGACAGTGCGACATTCCAGTGGCTGACCCCAATCCGCAGAGAGCTGGAGCAGGAACTCGTTCCTGAATGGCGGGCAAAGTATCTCGACTACAAGGTTGGTCATTGTCGCCGGGTTTTATGTGTCACAGCCGTACTTACCTGGTTGTACTATCTAGACCGGCAAAAAGAAAGTCAAAGCCGTCACTCGGGCCCTCCAGAAGGCGAACCGCAGTCCCCATATCCCGTCCCATCGACAGCCCACTTCCACCCCGCAAATGTGCGGCGCAGCCCACTCTTCTCTCACGCCCTCCAATACCGATAAACAGCTCGATGCGGGAGAACATGGCCTATCGACGCCACAGCGAAGTGGTGCCAACCCGCCATCAACACCGCGCTCCACGCCGGTGCCCGGAACTGAGCGACAACCGCTTCGCAGGTCAGGATCACGGTTCTCTGAAAATGTTGGTAGTTATGGAAGCATAATCGCAACGCCGCCATCACAACCCCATACCGCAGGTTCGGACGTAGCTTCCTTTGAACTTCCGGACCCGGCACTTGACCCGGATGAGGACTATCTGCCACACGAGGACAATACAGACAGACCCAGGAACCTCCGGACCCCTTCGCCGGTCATGGATCGCCATGGCATGATGAACCCTTCACCCTCTCGCGCTCTATCAGAACCATTGCCGGCCCAGAGGCCCCAATTGGACCAACGGACGAGCTATCAAAGTCAGATGAATGACACCTTGACAAAGGTGCCGTCGGTCAAACGGACATCACAGCTGCTGCGGCGTGTGTTTACGGCGGAGGGAGAACCTGGCGGGAGGCGATCGCAGTATGATTCTGGCGCTGGCGCCGAGCTTGATAAACGCCAGGACGAGTTCTTCGAGTTTTTAGATAGCGAGTTGCACAAGATCGATGCGTTTTACGTGATGAAAGAGCAAGAGGCCACTGAGAAACTACGGGTCCTTCGCCAGCAGTTACATATTATGCGAGACCAGCGCATCCAAGAGGTCCTGGCTTCTAAAAGAGCCATCAAATCCGATGACTCGGAGACACAGGAACGGCCAAATGGATTCGCAAAAATCAAGAATGCTCGAATCAAGGATACATTGGTGGGAAAGAATCGTTTCGGCAAGAACACGGAAGCACTAGCGCAGATGGCGACCCCTGGCATGCACCCCCAAGATCACGATTTCATCGCCAACCGGAGGGACTTTATGCGGCGGCAGGATCCACAAAGTCAAGAAGTGCCCTATCGCTCCGCTAAGCGCAAGCTCAAGCATGCGTTGCAGGAGTTCTACCGCGGAGTGGAACTTCTCAAGGGATACGCTTATTTGAATCGAACAGCTTTCCGGAAGATTAACAAGAAATACGACAAAGCGGTCAACGCCCGCCCACCGCTCCGGTACATGTCTGAAAAGGTCAACAAAGCGTCTTTTGTACAGAGTGAAGTGATCGAGAGCTTGATGATAGCTGTCGAAGACTTGTATTCCCGTTACTTTGAGCGCGGTAATCGCAAAATCGCCGTCACCAAACTCCGTCACACAATCAACAAATCTGGTGATTACTCACCGAATACTTTCCGCTCCGGCCTCTTGTTGATGGGTGGAACTCTATTTTCCATCAAGGCCTTGGTTGATGCTACCTCAAAACTCCGCTCGGGTGAGGTCGCTGAACAAGTTCAAACCAGCTATCTCCTCCAGGTAGGGGTTTTACCCTTTCGTCTATTGTGTAACCTTATTGACCAATTGAGCAGTTATATGGTGGGTATTTCCTCATCGTGTTCCATGTCTTGCTCTTCTGCTTGGATTGTATGATCTGGACTAAGTCGAAGATCAATCATGCATTTGTTTTCGAGTACGATTCCAGACACACCTTGGAGTGGCGTCAGTTGCTGGAGGTATGTCCAATTTCACGTTAATAGCTTTGATGATTCATTCTGACGAGTACAGATCCCTGCTTTCTTCCTGTTCTTGATGGGCCTATTTATGTGGCTTAACTTCTCATGGTATAACCACATGTATATATACTGGCCTGTCGTCCTTATTGGCTTGACGGTCGGTATTATTTTCTTGCCAGCCCGTGTGCTTTACCACAGGAGCCGCAAATGGTTTGCTTTTTCCAATGTGAGTTCATATAGCATCATATTACTGTTGATCAGCGTATCTGACCGATCCAGTGGCGCCTTTTGCTTGCCGGAATCTACCCAGTCGAGTTTCGTGATTTCTTCCTCGGCGACATGTACTGCTCTCAGACATATGCCATGGGGAACATCGAGCTCTTCTTCTGTCTATATGCCTCGTACTGGGATTACCCTCCCAAGTGCAACTCCTCCCACTCTCGACTGTTGGGCTTCTTCCAATGCCTTCCCTCTGTCTGGCGAGCTTTCCAATGTATTCGCCGATACCTGGACACTAAGAACGCATTCCCCCATCTCCTGAACTTGGGCAAGTACATATTCGGTGTCCTCTTTTATGCCACTCTCAGTATGTACCGCATCAACCTGCAGACGCGGTTCCAAGCCGCATTCATCACCTTCGCCCTCCTGAATGCCGTTTACACCTCAGTCTGGGATCTAATCATGGACTGGAGTTTGGGTAATCCATACGCAAAGAACCCAATGCTCCGCGAAGTTCTCGCCTTCCGTCGCGTATGGGTATACTACGCCGCAATGCTGCTCGACGTGGTCGTCCGTTTCAACTGGATCTTCTACGCAGTATTTATCAAAAATATACAGCAGTCCGCCCTGCTTAGCTTCATGATCTCATTTTCAGAAGTCTGCCGCCGCGGCGTCTGGTCCATCTTCCGTGTCGAAAACGAACACTGCACAAATGTCCTCCTCTTCCGTGCCTCCCGCGATGTCCCTCTCCCCTACGACGTCCCCTCACCAGCTGTACCCCCCCTTGACGGCTCAGTAGAAGACGTCCAACTCCAAGAACAGCAGCACACCACAACACCATTCATGGCGCCCGGCGACGTCGAGCACGGCACCCCCTCCACATCCAGCATGCAGGCCCGTCGCCGCCGCCCTTCGGTTGGTATCAGCCGTGTCGGCACGATCGTGGCCTCAGCCCACGCGCAGGATTTCGAGCGAAGACGTCTGCCGAATTTCATGTCCAGCGCGAGTGTAGGACGGGATCTGGCGCTCGACGCAGACGATAGTACGGACGAAGACGACGAGGTGGATCCGAGCACGGATGAGGATTCGGGAATGAGGCCGGCTGCAGAGCGCAGGGACACCATGGGTCGAATTGTTGAGTAGGTTTTAAGAGGTAGGCTGTGCCAATTGCCTATCAGTGCCAATGACCACGGGGGATATTGTCTATCGGCCCCGTCGGCGACATCGCCGCGTTCGATGTGATGTGAAATTATAGACATCGCTAAGACTTGCATATACTTCTTATCTTGCTATGCATAAATATTAATATTGGTTTCGGATCAGCTCTTCTTTTCGCCATAACCAGATTACACATACTACAAGATACGCCCACGGGTACCTAGCCCGTGTCTGGTCTGAGGTAGTTGTTTCATCGGCATGGTACCCGCCTGGTACGTGCTTCTGCCCCTTCTATGCACATCGCCGGGCCATGGGGAGATTGCCTGATCTGATCACCGGGTAGGTGTCCGCGAAGAAAGTGTTGGGATCAGAGATATGGTCACCTGCCCCTGTTGTTCGCCAGGAACTGCCGAGTATGTAGCTAGTTTGCTCCTCTTCCTCTTCTTCTTTCCTCCAGTGTCAGCGCACTCAATGCATACGACCACCGGGTGCCCGCGAAGATAGTGTTAGATCAGAGACATGGTCATATGACCCTGTTTGTTCGCCAGGCCTGCCGAGTAGATAGTTTTTGCTCCTCCTCCTTCCTCTTCTTCCTTTCCCTACTCAGTGCAGCCAATACAGTCCCATCGCTCTCATTCTCCTCTCCCTGAACTCTATCAGACAGCAGGAGCAAGGTGTGCACGGCTAATGCGTGGGGGATACTGCGGCGTGTGTCTTTGGGTCGAGAGTTCTGAACTCTGAAGTTCCCGGTCCGAGGGGGTGTTTCCAAAGCTGCAAGAAGTTCCGAGCCAGATCCTGCGCGCCGAACCTAAATGTCTC